TTCAAATAGTCACCACTTTGTCGAAAAATTATTTTTTAACTTAACGCTAAACGTAGGGTTTTTGTGAAGTGAGGTGAAAACAAGCATGTTTTTTGTATTTAATTATATGATGTTGTAGAAATCATAATATAAAACGCTAAACGTAGGGTTTTTGTGAAGTGAGGTGAAAACAAGCATCATAATATAAAGTCAGAACATCATAATTTAAAAAAAAACTTTTTTCAATCCAAATTTAAATCCACGATTTCATGATTTTCGCAATCTAACGTATTTTTCCTTTGTCGTGAATAAGGTTTTAAAAAAGAATTCTTTGATTTATTTTAAAAATTAGGTTTTTTTTTTAAATTTTATGTTATTTTGACTTTATATTATGATTTTTCCAACTTGTCGTAGAGTAAGTTATAGTAATCGCAACAAAATCGAAAATGATTTTTTTTTCATATCTTTAAGTTTCAGAGGTTTTGGAACATTTCCGCATACCTCTACAAAAAAATGGATGTGTGTGTGTGTGCAGATACAAATTTTCGTCGACGATTTTGGGAACACGGTTCAACCGATTTAAATAATTTAAAAAACATTTAATTTGTATTGACAAGGGGACGATTTGTATTGATTAGTTTTTGACAATGGCAGGTCTAGCCGTTTCGAAGATACGGAGCAAAAAGAGCCCAAAATGATAAATCAGTATTTGAAAGAACGGAGCGTCCGATTTGAATAATTCAAAAAACATTTTATTTGTATTAACAAAATGAAGTACTTTTTAAATTTTTGTCTGAAGGGAGGTCTAGTGGTTTCAGAGATAGTGTGAAAAAAATAAAAAAAATGTCATTTGGCGATCAAAAATTATCATTAGACATATGCACTAGGCGATCAAAAATTATCAGATATATTATAGTGATTTTAATAATAAGTATGAATTTTGTTTATATTTCAATAGATTTCGTACCAATGTTTATCATTTAGACTGCGATGCAGCGTTTACGCGCTTCGATATTTACGCTAAAACAGCCACACAGCACGATTGCTTTGAAAAAAAGTTCAAAATTTTAAAAAAATTTGAAGTATAAAAAAAATTTCAGATATAAAGCAAATTAAAATTTTTTAAAAATTTCGAAATTCTCAAAAATCTTATTTTTCTCGAAGTTTTCAAAAAATTTTAAAGGTTTTTTTTTTAATTTAATTTTCAGTACGAGAAGTTCTTGCAATTTGCACGATGCCATGTTCCACTAGTTTGACCTCACTTCACAAAAAAAGCATAGCTTTAAGTGGTTAATCCTGGTATATACTATAGCATAATATTATTTTTTTTCTTTAATTTTGGATTACTAGGAGGTTTTATTTTTTTCTGTACTTATGTAACATTGATAAAGATATTATGGTGATTTAAAAATTACTTAAAATTCATGCCTTTACACTAGAAAACCCCTTAAATAAGGTATCGGCTGCTGCTACAAAATAAACCTGTTGAACCAACTATGTTGGTTATATTATATTTGAATTTGTGCCTTTAGTTGCAGTATGTTCTATTAAAAATTATTTCGTGTGATAATTTATTTACTGATTGAATGATTCAGTGTGATTTCATATTTTGTGTGACGATTTATTTTTTGTGCTATTCAATGTACATTTTGAAATTGTGCTTTATGGTTTATGTAGTGTTTTAGTGTTAAGTGTATTGAATTGAACAAAGCTGTGCTTCGTGTTCCTGATATGCCATTTTCTAGAAATTGCGAGGTATTTCAAATTTTTATATTTTTTATTTTTATATTATTTATATTATTTTTATTTATTTTATATTAGAATATAATATATGTACAGTAAATCCTATTTTTATACGGTTCATTTTCATGCAATTTTTTTTTTTGTGCGATGGGTTGAAGGCGATTTTATAACCGTACATTTTTTGTGCGATTGACTATGAAAGTTATAAGCTTTAATTACCTAAACAGCCGCATTGTTGCTCAATTTGCAAATGGCATTTGCAGACTTTTATCCACGGTTCAAATGATTAAAATTTAATATTTTTACAATCTTCGGGCCGAATTTAATTAATTTAATTAATTGAATGCTATTTCATATATCATTGTTGTATTTTTTTAAGTCTGACCTTTTATACGGTCGTTTTCCACCGCATAATTTTTTATTTTATTCAATATATCGTACAAAGTTGATTATTATATGCAAAAATTTATAAAATTTTCGAATACTTTTTTGCGGAGTTTTTATACGGTCCCAAAATCCGCACAAAAACAGGATCCTACTGTATTTAAGAATGTATAAGATTTTCGAATTGTTTGGTAAGTTTTCTTTTATACGGTACCAAAACTGCAATAAAACAGAATTCTACTCTATATTGAACCTAATAAATTATATTTTTTTAGACAACAAATTGGTAATCGTGATGTTCTAGAAAAATTGGCGTTTTCAACAAATGGTGAGTGACTTTATATTTCTATGCATGATTATTAAAATTGGTTTTACAAAAATGCACCAGGACTTTAAAAATGGTCCTATTATAATTTTATTTATTCTTGTTTTAAAATAATTTGTTAAAATATTGGCGCGGCAAAGATTATTGACCTTTTTTTACAAAAATATAAATATTAAAATATGATTGTTATGTTTTTAATGTGAACCTTTTAAATATACAACGAAATACTCAATCGTTCGAATCGCGTAATTTTTTTTATTATGCATTTCTAAAATAAAAACTTCAGTTCGGGTAAACTAGTGTGTGAAAAAATAACGTGATGCTAATTGCGAAGAAATATATTCTAAGGTAAGAATCATATTCTATTGTTTAAAATTTTAAATCAACCAATAAATTACTATCCATTTACATTTATATTATATTGAGCATTTTATCCAATCCACATTTTATCCAACAATTTATTTTCTATTTGTGATTTATTTTTATTATAGTACATCAACATTTTAGTTTACATTAATTAATTACAGTTCATTAATTAATTATATTCGGACAAAATACAGGTACATAAGACTTTGCAACAAGGGCGACTACTTTGTCTTCTTATTGTTTGATAGCACAAGAATTGTAAGGCCAGAGGATCTCTAAAATAGTATGATACATATAACAATTATTATAAATTTTACAAATTATTTCATAACTTTCCTTATTATAGTAAACTTATTTTATATGACATAAAAATTATTTCGGATCGTTGTTATATCGAATTTTTCTAATAGTCTGTCGCCTATCGGACCGTGCATTCCGTTTCTTAATTTACTCCATCTTTTTATCTGCAGTTTCAACTGTTTTTTTACATTAAAAAATAACATATTTATCCTACGACAAACATATTACACACTTTACTTATAAAAAAATAGACTCAATTTAATATACCATTAATATAAGGTTTATGGAAACGGTTCATATAGAGTGGTTGTCTATTCAATGATCTCATGGGACACTTCATTCAAATTAATGTTTTCATACATCAATACCGTATTGAAAGTCAAATAAACTATATTAGGAATAAAATTTAATATATGAGAAATGCAATAAATTTTTCCAATACAATAGATAGATCCAATTAAAAATATAATGATTTTTTTAAGATTTTTTTATCTGTCAATTTATGAGATTTATCATATAAAGTAAAACATAAAATTTTAGTTTTATTTTTATTTTGCTAATTATTTCGAGATAAATTAGTATTTTTTTATTTTAAAAACTTACTCATCATCAGGTTTCCTTCGAATGTCGCGGTCTGGGTATTTTTTACGTTGAAGAAGCAATGTCAAATTTAAAATTGTGTCCATTAAGTAAACACAATACATTGCTAATGCAGCTATGCTCTGCAAATTTTTAATTCAATTCAACTAATTGGTAATAAAATATTAATTATTGTAATTATAAATTATACTCATTGTAACATTATTGAAATACGTGCGGTATCTGAATCATAACTTCATTCAATACTCTGAATATTGTACATTTAGAAAAGAAATGAAATTTGACTAATGGTAATAATTTTTTTCAATTTTTAAAATATTTGAATATTTTTGAATTTGAATATATTATTAAATAGTTGAATATTTAAAAAGTTTATTGGTTTAAATATATTTGGAATATCGATTCCAAATAATAATAATAACAAAAGTAAAACCACATACGAGTATTATATTGTTCTAGGCGTATTTATGCATTCATATTAAATCTTTTTTAAACTTACTTCCTATACAAGTTAAGACTCCGTATTTTTATACATATTAATTATCCTTCTATACATGTTTATAATTTGATAGTAAAATAAAAGATTTTAGTTACTGCCATGTACTAATCCTGGCCATCTTTCTTCGATAACAAATATATTCAAACAAACATCATATTTAAAAAAATCACAATGTTAATAATATCAAACATCAATTCAGGAATTATATTGGCTGTGTTTTAATATTTAGTTTTATTCATGTAATATTTGTTAATATAATCTATATTTCAAAATTTGGTCTTAAAACACAATGCTCCACAACCACTGGATAATTTTAATTTTGGGTGAATGCAAGTGTTCTATGAATGATATGCGATGTACGTTCCACGAATTGGAGTTATTTTTTTTTTCATTTTCAAGAAGAGCAAATGTATATAAATTATCGAAATTTAAGTAGATGTTCTGTCATTAATTGACTTTATTTACCTGCATTCTGCATTGCCAAAAAGCTTCATGCTCATTTTCTTCATAGTTTGTGAGAAATTTCAAATGTATATCAGTTTCACCTTGTGCCATTGGCAAGATTGATATGATAAGAGCTAATATTGTGCCCAACATAGCGATCGATGTGTGCAAAAACATACCAGTTATATTTCCCACCATCACATCTGGATTAAATGTTACATAAATTTAGTAAAGAATAATTTATATATATGCATAGCATAATGTTTAAAAAATTTAACCTATCTCATTCAACTTAAATGACTTTTTCTGGAGTTAATTGTTATATTTTGTATTATTAATTGCACTGTAAACTCAAATAGATAGATATTTTGTATGTATTTTTGTACGATGTACGTTTCATATACTGTTCAAATATGAAGGCAAAATTTATTTTTTTGCAGCGAATATTATTTCATATCTGATCGAGAAAACCTACCTAAAATCTGAAAATTTTAGTATATTCACAATTTAAAATAAAACTGTTTAATATTATGTCAACAATTACTAAATATTTTTGCAAAGAATAGTAAAATATAAAACTAGTAATATTTTTTTTGTTATTGTACTTAATATTTCCAAGTTATGCACCAAAAAGAATCCCAAAAAAGTTCCGCAATATATTGTACTATGTCCAACCGGTTCAATACGATTCATAAAGCAGTAGACATGAATTAGAAAACAAACACCAGCTATTACCTAAAAACAGAGAAATTACATAGCTTTTTTAAATTTTTTTCATATATTTACAATCTGTCTGGTAAGGCATTCAGTAATTTTGGTAACAAATGTGTAAATGTTTTAAATTTGTTTAGAATTTAAAAAAAAAATTCAAGAAAATAACCACATTCATATCCTTTGGGATTTGTATTCAACATATCATAATAAACATAATAATTGTTTTTATTCTATTTTTTTTAAAACTTTTAAATTTCAGTAGCAATTGTTTGCATTACTAGAGGAACCCATAAAGAATGATATTGCATGTATTGTTAGAAAATACGAATCCAATAAAAATAAAATTAAAACGGTCTCGAAATAATGCATAACTATTTGAAAACTGGTGACAACGTTTATCCTCTGAATTGTTACTACGTTGTACATACACGACGTATTCAGGTATATTCCAGTTAATTAGAATTTTATATCATATTCATAAAGTTTCTTTTTATAGCACATTCTATTTCAAAACATTTGAAAATACATGCCATTTCTAAAACAATTAGCATTGTCAAAACTTGAAATGATCGGTTTGTCTTGTCAAAACTCGTTTCATCAAAATCGTTTGAGTTCCATCCTGAAACGCCAGCTTCTTCAGTATTTGGTTGAAATATACTCATTTCTTTACCAATGTTTTTATCTTGGAATGGTTTGCTCATATCAGTTTCACCAAATAATTCATGGAAACAAATGACATTTCATGAGATGAATGGGATCAATCGGATTTTGATAGGCCCGTATCGGTGATTGCCTGTCTAATAATTTATTTGCGCGAGAATTAATTTTATATTTCAGAAAAAGTTTATGGTTTCAGCAGAGAATCCAACACGTGGTTCAATAAATCAATATAAATAAAAAATGTAAACTTTATTAAAAACTATCGTTGTGAAATGTTGAATATTATTAAGTAGTTTTTTAATATCTTTGAATTCAGTAATTCATTCATTGTAAGAATCAAAGTCTGTCTGAAACGGCCGCATCCGAGTGGAAAGGGTTAAGAGTTGATTTCAAAGGAATTTTAAAGAAATCTCATAGTGACTATTTTGACCCGCGTATTTTTTTTTTCATGTAAAGAACTTAAAGTTTTATTAAAGTAAAGAACTAAAAATTTTTATCATTCGTAATCTTACACAGATAACAAAAAACATTTTCTAATATAAATAACACTGATCATTAATTTAGTTAATTTTTTTCTCTAGGTAATTTTATTTCTTTGGTTTACCTTCAAACAATCTGGAGTAATAACAAATATTTCAAAAAAGTTACACTGTAATGCCCATATATTAATATTAACAATAAATATTTTTATACAAAAAATTATTATAATTACAAAAACTATAACATAATTATATTTACTAATACTGTGCATTTACTTAAGAACGTGATACAATAATTTTATTAAATTGAAACAAATACTTACAAAATAATATCATGGATTGTCAAGTAAATGCATAATATGTCTTACTTAAAATAAATTAACTAAAATAAATTATTTCATTATATAGTTGTATTTAAAAATAATTAGCGAGTAACTATTATCGTTCCGAAAATATCATTATTTTCTCTTAAATGATTTTTAAATATATATTTATTGATTAATGGCCTGAAGAAAATTTCATTTCGAATTTGTTGAATCGAAAGTATTTTAGTCCATTTTTGTACCCAACCAAAAATTAATGGTATTATTACCAACTCGAGTCGAAAATTAGATCGTATTAAGACAATGCTGAACTTTGAATATAAATCAGATCCAATAAAAACATATATAATGATATTTTTAAATGATTCGATTTACATATGCTTAGAATATTTTTATCTATTCATAGGAATACTGTGATCATGTATTTGTAATACTTGGATGTGTTTGACATATTCCTAAAATTCCATTTGACTCATTAGTAATTAGTATAATAGAACATGCGTTCAAAATTTATTGAACAAAATATCATTTAATTTTTTTAAGGTGAATTGTTGAAATAGTTTGGTACTAATAATATAATCAAATGCTTTTTTCATACAATCCTAGACTATTTGAGAACTTGCTTGAGGATATTTAAAGCAATAAATACAAACATGCAATAGTTTGTAATTTGTATCAATTTTCCTAAGCGTGTAGATTAATTATTGATTGATAACTTTATATTAAATTCCTTTTCAATACATAATTATTTTTAGCCATTGGCCCTTCAACCATTCAATAATATTACTTCAATAGTTCATTTATAGCTATTTTACCATGTCGACATTATATCAACTACTTCGTGGATATTTTGAAATGTATTCACATATTTTTATCATCAAATTATTGTTAACTTGTAAAATTTCATTTCTTTATGGCCTTTATAAGGTTTGGCTTGAACATTATTTGGCGCAAACAACTAATAATAATATAATTTTCCACACTTAGTAGTGAACTACTTTTTCGAAGTTTAGCTAACATTACTAAATCTTAATTCATTAATTGTCAAATGAAATTTTATGTTGTAACACATATTAATGTTTTATCATTTTTATTTGAGCTCTTCTTTTTATTGACGAAATACAATTCAAGATTCGACTCGATGATATGAATTATGAAATAACCTAAGGATCCTTGTTTTGTTTGAACTACTACTAAGTTAATTAATTAGATTGATATTCTGTGTATATAAATTGGCATTGTACGTATATTATCATGCCGCTTTGCAACCACCACCATTGTATATGAAATTATCATTTTTAGTATATAGCTATCGAGTATAGACAGCTTTGCAGAAATTACTCGTGATATAAATTCTTCTCATAACTTTGATCAGGCCGGAAATCAATCATTTTTTAATTTAGCACAACCTAAAGCTAATCGTAAGCGATTGCAAATTTTTTAAAATGGTTTCCGACACTGTAGTTGCCTATACGCTAATTTGAATCCTCTATTTGCAATGTCCATTATTTCATCCCCGTCTGTAACTGCCGTTAGAACAAACGGAGAAGAAAATGCTGAAAATAAAAAAAAGTTAATTTGTAATCGCTTAATTAAAAAATTGATATATACATACAATATTATATATATATATATATATATATATATATATATATATATTAGGGTGGTCCTTAACAAGAACATTTTCGAATTCCTTTACTTCCAAGGGCGCCAATGCTTCCAAATGAATAAAAAATAAATCTCTAATAGTATTAGCTCTTAATTTAAACATTTAGATAGAGCGCACGTCAAGTGTTTCTTATATTTGTTATTAACATACGTCATTAAGCAAATTCTTGCGCCATCTGTATAGTATTCGTGAACTCAAATATTACGACACATAAGAATATTTATAAACCACTTAACCTCTAATTAAATCCATGTGGGTTGTTCTATAACATTTATTCAACATGGAATCAAAATAATAATTTGAGTTTCAACATCACCAATTAAATAAATATTTTGCCATGATGAACAGGATTTAATTAGAGTTTAAGTGGTTAATAAATATTCTTATGTGTCATAATATTTGAGTTATTCTGAACTAAAATTAAGTGAAACAGATTTATATACTGCACGCCGAATGAAAGAAAAACTATTTGATTACTAAAATTACTTTCTCAAAATAGGGATTTGTTGGATGAAAAAGTAAAAATTTAGGGTTTTATATATATTGTTTATTACCACATTAGTTTTGAAAGTAAACGTTCGATAATTATTATTATAATAAGTGCCAAATATTATATGATTTGCTTAACCAAAAGTATAATTGTGAACCCAGTGTACGGTTGCGGCGTTCTGTGGAAACAATATCTTGTTTTAGAACCACAGCTGCGATGTTTTTTACCTTAGTACAAAAACTTTCTACGAGAGTGAACACGTTTTTATGTTTGAAACTACTGATTTCAATTCCTATATATTTTTTTTTGGATTCGAGGGATGGCCAAGTCGAACAACAGTTTGTTAATTTTAAATTTATTTCTTGGACTGTTTTTTTTTTGAAGTAATTGTCTAACAAAAATAAATGAAAAAATAGATTTTAGTTATTCAAATACGTTCGAGCGAAATTTAAATTTAAAATTAACAAACTGTTGTTCGACTTGTTTGTCTAGTTTGTAAGACCTGCAGCAAAAATTAATAATTTTTTACGAAAAAAAAAACAAATAAATTTTGTGTATTCCAAATACATAATGACTTTTTTTAGAAAAAATAGCTTGGGGAAAAAAAATCCATTATTTTTGCATGAAATTTGATGTAAAAATAATGGATTTCTTTTTCTCCAGTCTAAAATTTTTACTCATCACCAAGAACATATATGTTTAATATAATTTACTAGTCGAATAAATAATAATACTTACTGGAAGTAGGTTCCAGGCCCATCCCGCAAAACCTATCCGATGGCATCGTTTGGCCATTTTGCATAGGGTTGGGTATAACTACAAAATCCGTCGTACACATTTGACTTTGCACAACACCAGTACCCAAAAGGCCTGGGTCCACGGAACCAACATCATTCGTTACAGTAAATGACATTTTATCTCCAGCTGCTTGTGACCATTCTATGCCACAATAGCCTAAATTGACAATAAATTATTAGTCAAAAATTATTTAGTTCATTAATTATTTCTTTGTCCAAATTAGTGGTTTACTGTATTGAATTTCTACGCCAGGTGGTAGCATTTTTCTTAAATGAATAAAAGTATCTTTTTTGAAAATTTTGATTAGCTTAAAAATATATTTCAAAGTTTTAACAATCTTAGGTTTTTAAGAATTGTCAATAATTTATATGCAATATTTATTTCACTGATGATTTTATTGACTAATACTAATTTTTATTATCACCGCGTAAAGTTTTAGTCTAATTAATATTAGGTGGTTGTTTTTGTAAGAATTTATTTTATGTTAGCAAGATTTTTTGTATATATATATATATATATATATATATATATATATATATATATATATATATATAAGCAATTTTAGGTTGGTTGAAAAAGAATACAAAATTTCCTAACAAAATTTTAATGTTTGAATGGAATAATTTGCTAAAAAAGTATATTAATAAATTTTATAATATTTATATTTAACAACCTTATAAAATTCTTGATCATTTTTTTATTGGAATTTTGATTTAGGTTTAGTAAAAAGTTCACGCATATTTTAAATTTTTCATAAATATCAAATATTTTTATTGGCAATTAAAGATCATCACATGCCAATTCAAACTATATATTATATAGTCTCGAAATTGCTCCTTATAACACTTTTTCCATCACAACTTTGAAACCGTCGAGTCTGCTTCTACCAAGAGCATACATTGGCTACACATTGTGAATTCAAATTAAATGATTTTTATATTATTTCAATTGAAAGTTTTACTGAAAACATGGCACTTATGATTAATTCACACAACTTCAGCTACAACTATTGTTCTAAGCGATATGCCATTGTGGCAGTAAAATGTAATGTAATACGTAAAAATATCATAGAAGTTAGGAAAATAACCACACCTGTATCTGGTTTTATGCAAATGCCATAGTTAAGATTGGCAAGTTGCCTGGTGCCATCAAATCCTTGCGAATTGACACCTTGGTGTTGATTTGTACCATAGTTAAAACTTTTAACTACACCTTCGCCATTCCTGTGGTACTGTAAACAGCCTGTTGGCGCTAAATTTAAGAAAAATAATTATATAATAACACAAGAAAAAATATTAAATGAAAGACTGTTTTGTCCTTGATACATTACGTATTACTTATGATACTCTATTCAAAGATTTTTCAATTAATTGCATTTCAGAAGATTGTGATAACTAAATTGAATATAGTTGTTTAACTAATATGAGATACTTTCGTTCTATTTCTTCGTTCTGTTAAAATTAATCGAACAATCAACTTTCGAACAATTGTTAATTGAACTTGGGCCAAATCTCCGATAAATTAGACCTTAAAGTAGCATTGTTATGGCAAGGCTATGTTACGGTCCTTTTGTCATATAAATTGGTAGTAAAAATTGTCAAAATGCACTGTGCAGTCAGGCGTTTTAGGTATAAATTATAACCTAGAAAATGCACGAACGTGAAAAGAAGAATGTTACCGTAACTGCATCTTTCTGATATGTCATAATACATACGTAATCCTAGGTTTTATGTGTAAAACGCCTGATTGCACAGCAAATACATAGCATTTTGACAGTTTTTGATGCCATTTTATATGGAAAAGGGACCGGAACATAGCGTTAATATCAATGCTAGGTTACGGTATATTTTACGAAGATATAGTCTACATAGTGTTCTAAGTGTTGCTGTCCACAAAATAAAATTATGTGCTAATATTTTTTTTTCAAAAATCGAAAGCAATCAATTTAAAAAATCGATGATATTAGTTCATAGTCAAGAAATCTTTTGGGATTCTTTACGATTACTCTATCATGTATTTATTTTTAGGTAGATAAATGCAACGGGTGCACGTGCATATTAATAATGTTTACAATATAGTAAGTCAATTTATCAGTCTTTTATCCAAAGGGAAATTACATATTGCAGATATTTATCCTTTATTACGAATCTTCGGTCAAAACATTAACAGATTCTTATTTTTTAACATCGTCAAAAGATTTATATCATGTCAATGTAGGATTTAAATGTCAATGTAGGACAGTTGTAAATATTACGTTGAATAAAAAAAGATTCTTATTTTTTAATTTATTCACTGATTGCTAATTAACGGTAGTATATTTTTTGTATTTCTAAATCATCTTTTAAACGCAAATCCTTGTGAATTACCGGGATTCACGATAGTTACATTTATATGAAATTTAATCGAATCTTTTCATCGCAATCACGAATTTCATTAATTATGTTCAAATATTTATGGAAAATTTTAAATGATTATTGGGGATAATTTTATTTTTGTGTAATTTTTGGACTCCGTGGTAAGCTATTTTTAGTAGGTGGAACACAGCTGTCAATTAAAATTTAATTTGTTTGTAAACTGTTCTAAATTCTTATTCTTATTTTTCCATTGTTGCATTCGGATGATCATAACACCTGTGATCATTAACTTCATAAAGCTGATTTAGTATAGCTTGCAAATGAAATAAGCTTGAGTATATCTAAGTTGAATTTTTCTTACCTCGATGAATGGAATCGCATGCGATTTGGGCAATTTTAATATTAAACCTTCTGCTATACGGCAATGATGCGACAGTATCAACATTTATGACTATGGGTTCCTCTTGATCGAAATCGACGTAGACGTGTTGATCTGTGTTATCGCCGCACAGTGTCGGCACGGGACTTGCACCGCCGTTCACGGTTAAGAAATCGGTCATGCACACGCCGTCGCCGTTCGGGTGGGCTAGATCCAAATCGAGGAAATCGATTCTCACCTAGAAATTGAAATAATACTTTCAATTATTACACCAAAATATGTTAGCTTCTCTAATAGTCCAGTCATTTAAGCTTAAATTAGGTAAGAATCTAGGAATTCGAGATACCCAGCTGTAAGTCTGTAAGTACTTGTATATTTACACTCTAAAGATGTCTCAAAACCTACATATGGTATTGACACCCTACCATATGTAGGTTTTGAGACAACTTTAGGGTGTCAATATATAAGTATTTACAGACTTACAGCTGGCTATCTCGAATTCCGAGGTGAACTTAATATAATGACTGGACTATAATGTTTTATCAAAGTTGAAACTAAATTGAATGATTCGTGTAACAAGTATGTACATTGTGTACGAGTAAGGGTTTGTAACGAATTATGCTCAAATCAAGCAAATTTTCACTCTAATATTACAATTATTTTTGTGCTCAAATTTATTATTCACCAATAATAATCATAAAATTATTCTCAATAAAAGTTGAATAGCTTTGTCAGAAATTAATTAATTTTCCGTAGGGTGAGTTATAGTAATCACAAAAATCTCAAATAATAATTTTTATCCATCTTTACGTTTCAAAGGTTTCTGAATATTTTGGAATTTTCAGAAGCGTGTGTGTGTGTTTATTTGTGAGTATGCGGATATAAATTTTTCTCGACCATTTCGAGAAAATGTATTAACCGATTTGAATAATTGAAAACGCATTTGATTCGTGTTAATGGGGGAAACATGCTGATTAGTTTTTGGCAAGGATACGTCCAGCCGTTTCGAAGATACGGTGCAAAAATTGCAATAAATGGCAATTCAGAGAATTGCGCAGATTCAAAAAACGTTTAATTTGTTTTGACGAAATGAAGAACTGATGAACTTTCTGGAATAGCAGGTCCAGCGGTTTCGGATATCGAGTAAAAAAAGCAAAAAAATGATCATTATACATATGCATATCAAATTATCAGATATTTTTTTTAGAAATTTCAATAATAAATAGATATGAATTTTGTTTATATTTTAGTTTTCGTATCATTGTCCGTTAGACTGCGACGCGGCGCTTACGCGCTTCGATAATTTATCTCAGTTAAGGAGCGCGATGGCTTTGAAAATATAAAAAAATAAAAATTTTCAAAAAAGTCAATTTCAATATTTCAAAATTCTTAAAAATCTATTTTTTTTTTCAAAGTTGTCAATAAATTTTAAAGTTTTTTAAAATGCTAATTTACAGTATGTTTAAGTTTCAGCAATTTGCTTTAGGGTATGATGTCATGCAGTAGTTAATAAATCATTTTGAGCTATACGATTAATTTATTTGCAATATTATGTGATTCAAGTAATATTGATATATAATGTATAAATTATTAATCATCATTGGCCATTTAATAATTTATAAGCTGGATGAAATTGAATTAAAAACTTCTAATTCTAATAATTAATTTTCTAATAAGAAAAATCAGCAATACAAATAAATGAACTTTATTTAGAATCAACATTTGTGTAGCTAAACCATTATTAAAATTTCATTATATATTCATTTATCATAATGCGTCAAATATACGACAATAAATAGAAAGACTTCAAAAAACAATTAGTGCAATGGTCTTTTGCAATAGTTGAAAGTTTTTTAATTAGAAGGACAACAATGAGAGAAAGTGAAATTTTGTTATATTTGCTAGTGAAATTATTAATATAAAACATTTGGTTAGAGTTATGCTATGTAATATTATTTTTTCTTATGACATGACACTTTCTAACGATGTTATGATAAGTAGTGAAATTTTACCAACATGCAATGCAGATAATATGAACAGTCTACAAAGAAATACTACTAGACTGTTTTAAATGATTCAAATCAATTAATGTATATGATGGATTATTTATTAGTAATGGAATTATATTATTTAAAATAATACTGAACACGGTCTACACAATAATACTATTAGGCCGTCTTACTGATTAACATAAAGGAATGATTTGTAATGAAATATTGTATGAGTAGTGATAGAGGCATAGGCTATAAGATCTCTTATTACATTTAAATATACTATTATATGTATATTTAATGCAATTTTGATTTTGAAAATATTTATGATTAGAAAAATTACATTAATGTAACTTGTATGCGTGTTAAGCTTTATTTAATTATAGATAATACTATGGTACACTCGAACTCGAATAATATTTCTCATCAATATTTCTTCGTAAAAAGCAATACTTCGATAGGGTATAACTGTAAGGTTTTACAATTGCAGATTAAATTGAACTTTCCTCGAAAAATCTCAGAATTTTTACTAATGAAATCAGGTGTTTCCAAGGCAGAATTTTGTGTTGTTTTTTATATTTTACACATACAATTTCCTTACCATGCCAAACTCATTAAACAAATTTGCGGTATTGTGCATTATTTAATTTTGATTCAGCTACCAGACAAAATCATGAAAGTTCATGAAGCATTATATTGCTTTATTTAACATTTGCGGCATTGCATTTATTATATATAGCAGTATTTAGTAAAGCATTATTTTGTGTTGAAGGGCGTATTCTAGTGTAGAAAAAAGTACTTTTTTCTATTTTCAAAGTTTAGCTATTTAAGAATGTGTTCGAGAGGATTTGTAATAATTTAAACTATTTTTTGAGATCTGCTGTTCGGCCATGATAATTCTCTTCTGTTTTCTTCGATTTGCAAAACTTTAAACGCGTTTTTCTCAAAACTGTTTTTTTTAATACGATGGCTACGATTTTTCGTGTTCTATTGGACCGAAATTTTTGAAAAATGTTCTTTATAGACTTCTCTCAGAAATATACTAGCCTCATCTCGGAAATATAATTTTTACTAATATTTTAGAAAAATTAAGAAACTCAAAAAAGTGGTAAATAATTGATACTCCTTTTTAAAAAGAGTCACTATTTGTCAAAAATTCTTCTTTTAACTTAATCCCAGCACATTCATTCATTCATTCATTTCGGATTACTAGAAGGATTGCAATCGTGGGCAAGGTCACGTGTCAACTTTTTGATACCTCCGATTTCAACCAATGTTAATTTTTAAAATTAACTTTTTTTGTTTACATTTTTTCAGTACTCTTGTAACGTTGATAAAGAATTTCACAAAAGATGATAGTATAAAAATGCATTGCATTTTTTACGATGATTTAAATAAAAATGACCTAAAATTCATGCATCTACACTAGAACACTCCCTTAATTTCCAAAATTTGATTCTCGCGAATTGTATAGAAAAGATCCGACCACGTTTTTTTATATACTCTGTATTTTTTCTTTTTCTTAGTTTTGTATTTGAATAGGTAACAAGTCAATAAAAAGCCTGATGCACTTATTCTTACTTGTGAAAATCGAATCACAATATTAGCCAACACTAGCCAAACGTTACTGGTATTGTTTTATTTCTTGTTGGCTGGTTTGCTTATACTTCACTAGTTTGCTATTTTATACTTAGCTAGTTTCCATTGTAAATTAGTAGATAATGCAGACTAAATCAATAGATAGTAAAATTAAAATCAATAACATTAAATTTTTACCATAAATTATTATTTTCTAAATATGGCGGATAGGAGCACAGTATTATTTATTTCTGATCTAATGTAATATGCAGACTTAGGAAAATGAATAGTTTTTTTGCGAAACATTGGTGAGAATTTATATTTTATTCTATTGTTTTGCAACACTCAATAAAGCTACGACCAATAAAGAATAACAAATAATAAAGAAAAATGTTGTGGCACTAAAATTACAAATTATGTTTGTTTCTATTTTATATTAACGATGAAATTTGTGAAAATTATTAATAACGACTTTAAGGTGATAAATTTTTTGATCTTTATATCAACCATGAAGTTTGTGAAAACTATAATGAATTTAAAGTATCATTATTGGGGATAATTAATAGCAATTTATATTATGTATATATAACAATTGATTATTTATCATTTGATTCCGTTAGATGTCAAAAAGCAATATTTACTTCATGTGGACGACAAAGTAGCTACGAATGTTCTATTTTAAATGTTTGCCCTCAAAGTTATGAAGTTGATATTGACTTGTTTTCTGTCATCTAAATACGAACTTGGGTGTGTGTTTTAACAAACAGAATCATATATGCATATTTTCTCAATATGTCAACATATGCATTTTGCTCTTAATTCTTTGAAGTAGCATTATACTAAATGGCACGTCAAACGGTTTCAACGAGCACCGACTTTCCAGTCAGACATTTACTCGCTACAAACGGTATAATTAATTCATTATCTAATTTTAAAGATTATGACCAACCCATTTCTTGCCAATAAAGATAAATTGATCTTAGGATATCTCTATATCAAGATCATTCTCAGTTAATCTTTTAACTACTTAACTGTGATAGACGAGCAAAATTTTGTGTATTGAGTAAATTCGTCATGCGTATAAATCAGTCACTATTAGATATTTAACTTGCCAGTTTTTGAGAGAAATTGGGCAAGAAAAACAAAACTTTTTTCTAAATTTTATGTTGAAAATATGAAATGCTGTGTTGGAATAAGCAAGCAAATAAAAAATATCAACAGTTTGAGGTGATCTCAAGTGTCCCGGTTGCACTGCTTGAAAGACTTTACCAGATCGCATATAAATTGATTTTTGTAAAATGGAGTTTTTTTTTTAGAAGTTATCTGCAATCTGTGTGTAATACTTTGCTAAGCTGAATATCACTCGCCCGAAAGAGTTTGAGTTCTTACTTACTAATTATTGTCTGGTATCTAATTGAATTGCGGTGCAAAGAAGTAAATGTTGGTAATAAAATTCTCAATTTAATACAAAAAATCGATCTTTTTAGTCGTATATTTTAACTTATTTTATGATTGGCGAATATACTGGTTATGACTCGATTTTTATAATACAAAACTATGTGCATTTGTAAATTAAAGAGCCACAGTTAACTGAGTAAGTTATCTGATAATCTGTTATCAGAACGGTGCATAAAATTGGGTTTGGACCGTCAACGCATAAAATTGTAAATGCGAAAATTGCAGTGGCGTATGAGAAAAAGCTCAAAACTTTATTTAGAAAATAAAGTTTTTATTTAAATCCGATCTGAAGCCCGTGTGGACTTACGGCATTGGACTATGGGCCTGCACAAGTAAGTCCAATTTTGTTAAAATGCAGAGAATATAATAAAAGATTTTAAAAAATATTACAAACGCATCTGGGTACTCATAATTGTTTGAAAATACCTTACGCCAATGAAGTAATTAAATACAGATTCGTATATAATAAATTGAGTTTCTTCCTAGTTTCTACGACCAGTTCTCAAAGCTCAAAAAGGCTTATGGACATTACTTGGCATTGATAATCACTATTTGGAGTGATTTCTTTATAGATTTGTTCTCTTAAATAGTGTTAGCTTTATTTTAATCTCATTACAATAAGTTATGAACTTGTTAATCTGATTGCTATTTATATCGATATAATGTGCAAGTACTAGACGACTTACCGGGACAGTAATTGAATTGATCAGTTGTTTTTTTGTGAATGTAATTAAATATTAAATTATGTATCAATTAATTAAAATTATATTTTCGTAACTATCGTTGTTATTTAGTCACTTGACTAACCTGACAAATACCTGGATTACAACGATGTATCGTCATGGAGCATCGGGTTCCTCCTCCGTATGATGCTGGAAAATTGGGATTCACGAAATACGTGTTGTTGAGTTTGCTGTTGCCGCCGCATGTCCGTTGAACTGTGAAAATCGAATGTTGTTTTCCTTGTATAAAACGATATTTATTATTTAATTTAATAATTTATATTAAGACTAAAATATAATATCAAATATATTAACATAAATTGATTAAATTTAATTTCACACGCTATGTACGTATTTCAAAAATACGGATTATATAGATTATTTAAGAAATATTTCATTCAATTTATAATTTACTGTAATTTATGATACAGTTGTTTTATAGTTACATATACGAATTATAAAACTATCTCGTTCAAAGTTTTTTTTTAAATTCATTGGATTGTGAAAGTACTTTATTCAAGCATTTTTATAGTAATAAAATATGTTCTCGTTATTGAACAATTCATAAGTCTTTTTATATTTAAACAAATGTGATTATATTTACACAAATGGCTAAATAATATTTTTACACTATTTAATTCGTTGATTCTTTCTATTTTGATGAGAATAGCTTTATTCTTAATTATACTTTACTCTCACAAATTTGATGTTTTCTTGAAAAGCAAAATAAATTACACTGGGGCCTCGCTTTACGGCCTAGATACGTTCCCCGAAACTTGGCCGTAAAGCGAAAAGCCGTATAACGAATCAGTTATTCTAATACGTATTCATACAAATTCAATGGGATCGGTTCCAAATTTAATAAATATATAATATGGTTTATCATTCAAAATGCATTTTATTTTTTATTTTGTTTAAATTATAAACATATTTAACAAGAACATAAATTTTACATAAAATAAAAAACTTCAAAAACATTACATAATTTCCAAATAAAAATGAAACAACTAAAACCTACAGATCACTGTCACCATCATTTTGCGCTGCTGGTTTGAAAAATTTGTCTAAAGTTGTTTGTCTTATCTTCTTGTCTATTTCTTCCTTTAGTGATTTATAACAGCTAATGACTGAGTTAATTCCTCGAGACACATTAGCGCTACGTTCGACGTCAGGATCGTTTTCAAGGAAGATGTTCATTCCTTGTTCAAAATATGAAAAAGCGCTCGACATGATTTTTGATGTTAGCTGTTTGGATACAACAGGTTCTGTATCTTTATCAATTGCCGGATCTGCTTGCAACTGAATGAGTACGTCATATAAAAGAGGTCCCTATCAGCTGCAAGTAGATCCTGCACATCAGATTCGTTTAAATTTTCAAAACCGAGATTGCGCAATATATCGACATAGAGAAAAAAAGCCGTTGTAGCGAAACATTTTAGGCCGTATATCGAAAACGTGCCTTAATTAAAGAGGGCCGTTATAGCGAAAGGCCGTATAAAGAGCGGCCGTATAGCGAGGCCTGGGTGTATTAGATATTTGATACAATACGAAATTTGCAGCGAAATTATATGAAGCCTAATAATTGACTAATTTTTTGTACTCATAATAGTATTTGTTGATAAGTGTAGTTTTAAACTTATTTTCATTAAATGAATTAATTGAAACATCAATCAGATCCTCATCTTATTGCAAATTACTATGTGAGAATATTGATTTTAACACAAAAAACTTATATTGAGCTTATTTAAGCGAAAAAAATTATGAAAACATCTTGATAAAAATCGTTCAATTCAATTTAAATAAAAATATGCACGTTCTGCGCCATTCATTAAAAATCTATTTCGAGAGTGCTTTTTGCGGGTGTGTCTCAGAATGGAACAGTGATATAATTTAAGATATCATTATCAATAAAAATGTTGAAGTATTAAAAATTACGCTTCTAATAAACTAAAAATTACAATAAAAATTAAAATTACTAATACTTCAACTCATAGTGATAAATCTTGGAGCAAAGATCGACACAAAACATGTCGTCCATAGACGACACCTGTACACACATCACATAATGCTGATGTATGCACAGGTATTCGAATGGATGTCGTAACGAAAGGGTTAAAATTATAACTGTCATAAACTATTATATATATATGTATATATATATATATATATATATATATATATATATCTTTTATAAATAAGGTAAAATTAAGAACTTACAAACACAACATGCACCAATTCCTTGAGCACATTGTCCAGATCCGACTCCTACTTTGTCATGACACTCTTTCTTTGTATAACATGTTCCATCCAAATTGTTTGTAGACTTGCATAAATCATTAGGAAATCTGACCACCGTGAAGTACGGGAAAACTGTAAATGATTAATTTATATATAGATATTTTTAATATTTAATATATGCAATAGAAAACTGGGATTACTGGGATAATGTTTTTTTTAGATGAAACGTTAATGGGGACATAGGTATTCACAGCTGTAGTACGCATAATTAAATATAGGTCATTTACAAATGCGCTTACACAAGTCTAGATACCTATGCATTTTTGACACTTGTAATATTTATTTTACTTATTAGAAATAGTATCTTAAATAGTGATGCAATAATAATTAGTAGCGGTTTTTTGACACAATATGTTATATCAATGAATAAGATCATATTTTGAGAAAGTGTCTTATCGTAAGTCCAAAATAATCGGAAAATACATACTCTTGCTAGAACAATATTAACAAGTCTATTCTGATGTTTAAGTGTATCGCCAGAAAATGCTTAAAAGTCAATATCAACATAGTTTTAACACGTTTTTTTATTTAAATTAAAGGGAACTTTTCTCGATTTTGCAATCTATTAGATGTAGATGATCTTGTTGTAATTGCATATGCATTGATTAGTATATTTAATTCAAATGATTAAATGATTTTAGCAATCATTTATGATTGATGATAAGTATTGCATTGCATTGGATATGAAGACTAATTACTTTTTAAATTTAGTGGTTCTAATGCTATGAGAGTCATCTTTTGAAAGACAATAAGGTGAAATTGAATTATATTTTAAAGGATGTTATTCGATTAGAGAAACAGACTAATGTTAGAATTTTCTGTTTCAATAATTATGCTTCAGATTGTGTACATATATATATATATATATATATATATATATATATATATATATATAATATCGTAGTATCTTACAGCTATTAGGCAATATTTCATTGATTAAACTGAATGAATTATTTAATAAAAACAAATCTTCAATGAATTTTACTGCTAGGGATGAATTTTACTGCTAGCATTTAATGTTTCATTAATATTTGTTTATCCACATGCTTAGCTATCTTAGCATTATTAGAATAACAAGTTTAAGTATAAGCTCCTACTTTTTTATATAATTTATATACCTTTATATAACAAGGATTCTAGTGATTTTACACAATGCATAATAACTTTTTACCAAGGTAAAACTCCTATTCATTATATTTTTTGTTATACTTTTTTTGAAATTTTGATTATGAAACATTACACTAATACTGTAGATTTTATTTTTGCCATATTTGTGATGTTATTTAGCTATTTTCCAACAAGTGTTTTGTACAGAAAAAGTTGTGTAAACGATAAGATAAAAATCGCTCATATATCTAATCGACCTTGTTAAATCTGTCCCTAAAGAACAATTCATCAATTTCTTAAAAAATGGGATATGTATATTATATTTTTTATAAAATCTTCTAATATAAAGAAAATTATGAAGTCAAGCATTATAGTAATTAATTTTTTTTCTGATTTTTGGTAATGCTTTGTATTAAAGGATACAGATTACTAATTGCATATGTACAGTGTTTGTGAGAATGTATTTGCAAGGATCAATTTGCGTACGTTGATTTGTTCTTATAAAATAAATATTTGCGAGAAGACGTTGGATAATTCAGAAAATCATAATTTTAGCGAGTGCCGACTCTGATCCAGTTTCACTAACTAAGCATATATAACCTCATAATTGTACGAGCAGCATATCACATTTTCACGTGCTCGACATTCTAACAAAAAGTCAAATTCACTTCGCTTGGCGCAAAATTTAACCTTGCCACAATTTTTTGGCTTTCAATGCGGATATAAGTTACAAGATAACGGCGTTTTTACTTAACGTTCAATTAACCTGGAATTCCAATATTATATTTATGGTGGCAATCCCCTTTTACTTTCAGGACTCAGATGATTGAACGTCATTGAAATTATTAATTTCGCTTTTCTGTAATTGTGCGAATAATTTGTGTTGAAACTTAGTTACAGATATGTACCAAAGCAACATTAATTACATCAGTTGGGCTATTTTCAGCTAAGATCTATTATGTTGATATTATGCTGAAACTTCTAGTATCTTTTGAGAATTTCCTTTATATATTTATCTTACATAAATATCCTTATAATTATTCGCACAATTATAAAAAGCGTTTAATTATCTGGCAAGTCCTAATGTACTTAATTTTCAATGTTTGAACCTCTGTTAATGGAACTTGATTTGAGGAAATGATATGGATAATTGAATTGAAGAGAATATTGAACAGTAACTAACCTTCCTTTAAAAAATCGGGTTTAAAACTTTGTGTACCAAAATTGAAATGCTGATTGATTTTCTATTCATAGTATAATCTTACAATTTAAAACTTATTTTTGTTGTATATTTTTGTGTAAAGTAAGATGTACAAGTAATTTCCCTAGTACTTTTCCTAGAGTATTTTGAAGTTGCCATGCTCTTCAATCAGCATTACAAACTCCTATTTTATAACTTGGTTTCAATGGATTTGCTTTGCCACGAAGTGCTGAAGAGCATTTTATACATATATTATTTATTAAATTATTATTTCACTAATAGGATTTAATAACAACTACTATATTACATCGTGAAAATATATTCTGATTTGATGAAAATATATCTGATGATCTGTGTCATAACGAACGTGTTCGATCCGCGCTGTACTAGATTTTCATCCATTCTGATTATTTACATGTTAGTAGAGATTTTCCTACGTTTCTGCTAATAATTTGAAATATTTGATAGTAATAACTATATCTGAAAATGTAATGTTCAAAATTGAATTATTTGTAATATTACAAAATTTAGTGAATATACGCTTTGACATATATTGATACAATATTATAACGCAACTACATAGCAGGTCATAAACGAGGTTAAACGAAATTTGTGAAATTGGCCACACGTTACGTCAGTCTGAATGCACGTTTCTTCCGACTATCAGTGAAATATATTTAGGCATTTTTTATTTTATGTAAATTTTTTGTGTATCAATTAAATTATTTCGGATACTTCTTTGATTGTTGTAAATTACCATAAAATAAAGCACATCAAATATGTGAAAATATTTGTTTACTAATTATTATTCATATTAATTTGTTTTTCTTTAAATTTTGGCATTATTATTTATCTTGTAAGAATGACCGGCCTAAACAATTAGATTGATAATTAAAAATTTTACAACATCTAAAATAACAATCTAAAAAAAAGGTTTAAATAATTATTAGTTAACCAAATCGAAACAACTATATTTTGCTTTTATCGTCTTTTTAGGTCAAAAATAGTAACTATATACAAAAATCTAAACTTGACTTGACTAAAATTCAAATTCAATATCAAATAGTCTATTCCAATACATATTAATGCGATAATTAACTAAATATTAATTGTTCTTAAGACCTAAGTAAATATTCAATATTATGTCAATAAAAAAAAGCCTTGATATTTCATATAGGTACAATTTGGTTGTCAATTTTCTTTTCGAAACCGTCGAAAAATTATTTAAATATCTAAATAGTATCGATATTTAAAAATTAAATATTAGATTTTTGAATTATTATTGCAATTCGATTCCCATAGTGATTACATGTTTGCATAATGTAACGTTATCATATAAGTCTTTTTCTTAGGATGAAAAATTTTCGAAGTATTTTTTAAGGAAATGGAAAATATTTTTTTAGTAAACATATTACTATTTCGACAAATTGAGAATTTAAGTTCATGTACAATATTGACAAATTTATTTTAGAATTTATTTTAAATGTTTTGAATGGCACTTTTATGAACAGAACAAGAAGCTGAATTATGTAGCACTAAAAACATTTGAGGAAGATCATATGAATTTGTAATTTATTGTTTAGCAGTTCAGTCAATTATTTGATGTAAAGGAGATTAATCAAAAATGCATTACATATTTGAAATTCGGCAAAAAATATCGTAGCCTCATTTGTAATCTTTGTACATCGAATCCTCTTCATTATATTCATAAATTTATAAATTTAATCATATGTTGAATATTATATTCATTGTTTAAGTTTTTCACTGAAAATAATTTTATTATTATTATTATTATATTATTATTATATTATTAGATAAGGCGTTAATAATATAAACATTTTTCATTAATTAGAAGAAAATAGAGTAACTTCGGTAATATACAATAATTTGAAGGTTACCGCAAAATATTTTTTACCGCATCAGTTATGAAATATTAGTAAAATTATAAATCTTGATTTAATGTTTTAATTATTTTTAAGTTACATATCGTTAATCATGAAATGAAATTATAACATTTAATTCTTCAACATATATTCATATATTGCTTGAAATTAAGGGAAACGTATGAAATATTTAATAAAAAGGTTTAGTGATAATATTTATTTTTATGAAAAACTCAATTATTTGTTTATAATATTTATAAACGTAACAGCCTTTCAAATTTTTTAATTGAAAATTGTGGGATGAGGATTATTCTTGTTTTATTTTTGACTATTTTTTATCGTTGAAGAATACTTTGAAAAAGTCATTTTCTCATATTTTCAAATCATTTTGCTCCAAGTATAAAAAACAATTAGGTAAATTTAAATTTCTTTTTACTAAATCATTATCTTTGATTGTTTTTTCTATCTATGATTCATTATTAATAGTTGTTTTCAGTAAAGTTTAAGGAATCTCTACTCTATCTTTATTGCCGGCATCTCTACCGTTAAAAATGATTCAAAATAAACGTTAAATTCAAATCGTATCGAGCGTTTTGGTGCACACTTTTTGGTTTCAAGAGTATTATTTAAAGTTGAAGTAAATCTGGAAATGAAAATTTTTGAAATAAAAGGTTGTATTTTTTTCTTGGACCGCAATCACCATTTGACATTACATTGTTTATTGTGATGATTATTGTTTCTTTTGATGGTTATTTTTGTTGCTATTTGCTATTAGAAAGGAACTCTATAGTTGTCCTATTCCTTTTTGATACATTTTTATGGGAAGGCAACTTAAGGGTTGTCTTTTTCTAATTGTGATGATAATATACTTTGTAGTATAAAGTAGTTGTCTTATTCTATTTTTGCTACATTTTTGGAAGGCTAATTAACGATTGTCCTTTTCTAATTCTGGTGATATTATAACGTTTTGCAATAATGACCGACTAGGGTATTTTCACTTGGAAAAACCTATATATATATATAATATTTTTTAGGGAAAATAAATTTCGCTATTGTTCGATATCATGCTACACCGCTAGATTTGAACTCGAAATATTATGGTTAACTTCGATCTATTCATACCCGAACGCCTAATAAATGGCTTTAAACATTTTTTAAGGACGACCAAAATGTGATGATGTTTTGGATGGAATAGGTGCAAATAATGAAAAAGAGATAGAAAAGCTTTGGTCCATAATTTTGGAAACCTCATGAGCCGGCAATAGCAGTATAAACAACAAATAAACGTCGGAGTATATGACTAATTAAAGCGTCGTGTTGACAAAACGGATAGAAACTGAAAATTCTACAGTCGATAAAGCTTGATAAGAAGAATATTGCATACACTTAGGATGCCTTGGGTTGAGACTGGAGGTATCCTTGTAGCCATCCTCATCTTCCAATTCGTTTTCGACGTACGCGCCGTACGTCCCAGACGCGACTAGAAGCATGATGAGCAGCGCCCCAAAGCTTTTCCATACCGTCATCTGTGCACTGTTTCACTGCGCACTTTGACACTTGACACTTGTACACAAGGTACAACTAAATCACTTAACTGCTCCACACTGAACACTCCACAATCCCGTATTTGAATTGATTGATTCAGATATCACTATTATTGATCGCACTTCCTAACATCTACATATGGGTCCTTCACTGTTTTACCAATTCGCGACGGCGGCTTAGATGCACGTTGAAGCTCTCGGCCCAACGGGGACTGGCGCTGATGAAGAATCAGTACTCGCGGACGAACCGAATCAGACTGTTCTCATATACGAGCCCCGCGAACACAGTTATATGTTTAAAGATGAGTGCTCATGGGCGTGCTTATTTATCGCAATTTCATATTCAGTGGGGGTCCGGCGTTCATTCATTTTCAATTGCTTCAAATTAATTGACTTATGTGATATTTATTTATTTGTTGACAAAAACGGTTTTGCACATATCGTTCCAAGACGTGTTTGACTTAATAATTATGATATATGTGTGGAGTCTGACATTGTATGATTTTAATGAACATTTTACTCATATTAAATAATATACCATCCTAAATAAATATCGTTCGACATATGTAAATTTTCCATCGAATTATAAAGACATCAAAAAAAGGTTTCGAGTAATGGAAAAACTTCATTGAAAATTCACTTTGTTCCTCAAGATATTTGAAAATTGATTGCCTCATCTTCTTCTATACTAAAATAAATTTGAGATTATTTGGCAAATATTCCATAATTACAATACTACCCATAAATTCTCTATTGATATCAATAGAAGCAAATTATTTCTTGGTTTGAAACTTTTGTTGCTATGTTACCCAGTGTTATACATGTTATCTTAGGTAAATGCATTAATTAAAGTTTTATCTCGATCAACTTTTCTAACTTTTACCTTTATCATTAGCTTAGTAAAAAAATGTCTCAGGATATCAATTGTTTAATTTTGTATAACGTGATATCAGTATATTACATTTACCGACCAATTCTGTAGTAGAATAGATCAATGTTACGGCAAGGCTATAATACGCTGCGTTTTTCATGCAAAATGGTACCAAAAAATGTCAAAATGCTGTCTGATTTCTGTGCAGTAAGGCGTTTTAGACATAAAATCTAACCTAGATAACGCACAAACGTTAGGAAATGAATCTAATTGCATCTTTCTGACGTGTTATGATAACATATTAGTGAAGTTACATTTTATGTGTGAAGTTACAATTTATGATCGACAGCAAACAGTTTTGACAGTTTTGAGAATTATTTTTTATGGAAAATGCAGCGAAACATAGCCTTGCCATAACATTGGTCAATTTTATGGCAGAATTGGCCCGTTACTTGGTAATAACAATAAGTTTTGCGTGTAAACGTAAAAATATATTTAGACAAATCTTCGAGTGAGTGTCGGAATATGCATTAATAATGCATGGATGCAGGTACAGACTAGTTAAAATTGTTATCATAATTTTTTCTATTGAAATGAAAGTTTATTGTATTTTAATTATAAAGTGCTTTATGATATGCGTATCTCTCTTTTTTTACAATTTCCTAGATCTCATTACGTGCAATGAGTACTAGGTATTGGTAAAGCATAATAATTAATATCAGAATATAGCATTTATTTTATTGTTTAGTATCTATTTGATATAATTATATATTGACTAAAACTAAAGTTTTTCGGATTAATTTCTATAAATCTTTAGTTTTTTTATTTTGTGCATATATTCGAATATTTTAATGAATTTTCTTCGAACTTCTTCCACCTGTACGCCATTGATCGCATACTCCTAATATTGGTATTAACACTTAGTAGATCTTGAAGTACAGTCCGTGTTACATTACTTTACATTCATATTAAATTTGTGTAACAATCGAAATGTCTTTCCATAAGTAGGTAACTCACGCTCACCACGACGGGTCACATACGACACGCATTTCCAATACAACCCGGCAAGGCGTCTCTTGTTAATTACGCTAAATATCGAAAAAACTGGGTCATGCCATACTATTAGCATCGGCATTCTACAACGAGAGATATGTATATCACAAATTTCAGAGCTGGTAAACTTGTGCACTGTTTGATTTCATTTTGCCGATGAATCAGAATCAGTTTGATGTATTTCGTTAAGTACTGTATGTACTGAAAAGTTATTAATTATTGGATCTCTTCTGATTTGTAAAAACAAACACTTCTAAGATTAATTGATTTTATTTTAAATTAAACTTACAAAATTGAGTGTTGATATCTTTAGTCTGTACTTGTTGACGGTTCAATCATAACTGCCCCCACCTCCCCGCTGATTCGACCCTTATTGTAAGAATAAGGGTCGATTTATAAAAGATTTATATAAATTCTGGATTTGGTACTAACTTACAAACTTAAAATTATCTTAATAAAGATCTGAAAACATAAAATCTTATAATAAATACATAATAGTTCTTAACAGCACATATATAACATTAACTTATTTTATACATATTTATATAAGCTAGGAAAAATATAAATAGTAGAATATACAGTATTTTTATGTTTGTGAACAAAACATGTAAACTGGCCAACAATTTCCACTAAAAAGTATACATTTCAATATATAAGGATTAAATAAAAGTTATAATAATTTCCTAAAATAAAGAATTACATAGACATAATTTATATTCATTTCATTCTGTCCCGTTCCATTAGCCGCTATGGGTCGATCAGGGTATAGTTTGCCAGGTGTTTTCTTCAAAATTTAGCAACGAGATTAGTATTAATTTTTTTAAACGTTTAATACTTTATTTTTACAAAATTACCTATAATCGTATATAAATACATATTTTATCTTTTTTTTATTAATCTTCTACAAATTGGTTAATAATTTTTCGTTTATAACTTTGAGTAATTATCCATAAAATATATACATTTCTTTCTTTGTTGCGAAATGGCTTTCTCAAATACATAAGTGCTTTTAATCTAAATAGATTCTATTATTATTCTAAGTTATTGATCTAATTATCTGAAATAGTACACATATGTCTCTCAAATAGAGCAATGTTGTGACAAGATCATCTTTCATAGCGTTTTTTTATATAAAATGGTACTAAAAACTTCCAAAATGCTATGTATTTGCTGTGCGATCAGGCATTTTACCTATAAAATGCAACTCACTCATATGTTAATATGCCACATCACAAAAATGCACTTATGATAAGATTCTTTTTTTTGACGTTAGTGCGTTTTCTTGGTTAGAATATCTATCTAAAACGCCTAGCTGGACAGCAACCACATAGCATTTTGGAAGTTTTTAGTGCCACTTTATATGAAAAACGCTACGTAAAATAGTTTTACAATAACATTGATTTATTTACGCCCCATTATCATATGTCTTTACTATAAAAATATCATTTAGATATATTTTGCTTTGCAGTGCTAACATACTATATTATTTCGCTATCCAATATTATGATCGACAATAATGAATACTTAATTAAAATAAGTTTATATGGTAATTGAAAAACATGATTTTATAAACAAATTATAACAGTAATCTTTTTATATCGAAGTGTCCGATTTAAATGATTCAAAAAACATTTCATTTGCATTGACAAAATGAAGAACTGATTAAATTTTTGAATAGGCAGGTCGAGCTGTTTCGGAGATCCAAAAAAAATAAACAAATGCGGTTTGGCGGTCAAAATTGATTATTAGACATATAGATGAATTTAGTCCCGTATCAATGATTATCCGTTAGACTGCGATGCGGCGCACCTTTACTTTGCTTTGAAAAAAAAAAGTTCAAAATTTTCAATTTTTTTTAAACATTTCAAAATTTTTCATTTATTTTTTTCAACATAACATTTTGAAAGTTTTTATTTCCACTTTATATGAAAAAGGCTGCATAACATAGTTTTACTATAACATTGATTCATTTACGGCCCATAATTATGTGTTTACTATAAAAAAAATATCATTTAGACATATTTTGCTTTGCTTTGTAAAGACATATTTTGCTTTGCTTTGAAAAAAAAGTTCAAAATTTTCAATTTTTTGCAAACATTTCAAAATTCTCAATTTTTTTTTTAAGTCTTCAAAAAACTGTCGAGCTTTTTTAAAAAAAATATTTACGGTACAGAAAGTTCCAGTAATTTGGCTTAATGCTCGATGTCACGCACAGCCGCTAGTTCTAAGCGTATGTTTATATAACGAGTATAAGTCTTCCACTAGTTTGAGAAAAGGTTCTTGATCTCTGGATTAACATCTTCCCGTCAAAATTCTATTATCCGAATGCGTTAGATAAAATTGTCATCTCCGGTACAGCGTGTGCGATTCAATTAGATATTTGTTTTTATTGTGACACTTTCTGTGCAGTGTTAGTCGTACGATTGACAAAAGAACTAGGTGGATCGTGATGAACAGAAACAGTTATACTCTTTGCTTACACTATGTTTTGATTATTTTCTCGGTTGTAGAACTTAAAAATTAATAAAGTTTATTCCACGACCTCCTGCTTATGGTAATTGCTGTAAATTGTGTGAATTAATTATATTTGATACAGTTCGTGAGTGAATAGTTATAAAAATAGTTTAGGTTACATGAAAATGACAATTTGTAGGTCGAAATTATAATCGATTCTGAGAATGGAACTTTTTGCGTAATAAGTATGGAAAATAATAATATCGACGTAACGGTTTGATATACACGTTATTTGGTTAATTAATAATAGCAATGCTTGTAAAAAAATTGGAATGCCTAAATCAAATTAAGTAAAATGTGTGGATGCTAGGGGACATTTGATAACGTTCAACAAATAAATAATTAAATTGTTTTATTTTACATAATTTTCATGAAAACTCTTAGTTTCAGTGCAATATTCTTGACAAGTTAAAAAACGTGTTTTAATTTGATGTAATCTTATTTAACATTTATCAATCAGTGATGACCGAATTATAGTCTTGTTCATCATGGTGGTAAAAAACATTGCAAATTTTTGTCTCCTTGTTTTTACTGATGATATGTAAGAATACTACACATGCTCAAATCACATATCGTAAATAAAATTACGAAACCGAGTTCATTCATAAAAGCTTTGTTTTTACGCACTTGTGATGTCAATTCCCCTCTCAAAAATACTAGTATCACGCATTGCGTATTAGGCACCAAATGCTAAATTACTACCAAATATCTTTATAAAAAATTTATATCTCGTAATTTAATTTTGAAACAATTAAAACCATTTTAGGGCCTGTTTTACACTAACGTTTATTAACTGAAATCAAATTTAGTTATGTTTTAATCGAACTTGTAAAATTAGTGAAGTGATGTGCGTATAATATATGTTTAATATATTTGTAGTTCTATTATATACATAAAATGTTACATAAAATAAAAATATGTGTAAATATTATAATTTAAATATACAAGTATCACGACTTAGTTTTATATATATCTCAAAAGTAATACATATTATTTTTATAACCTATCCCCTCGATTCACACAGTATTCGTTTTACACGTTTTCGATTTTACATGGTTTTTGAAAATAGAAATTTCTTTCAACGAAGTTTATTAACTTTGCATTTATACGAAATTATATACAATAAACGTTAATTTACTTATATCTATAATAACATTTTTATTGTTTTATTGTCAGAATACAACACTACAAAATGTATATTACAGTTACGAATTCTTAGTACGTAGTCTATGTGTATGATGGAAATATGTAGATAAGATGGGTACTCTGTTTCATGACCAAAACTAAGTTTTATGTGTGTATAAGCTAGTTTGTTTGAAATACGAAAACAAAGAGCATTATTGTTTTTGAAATTCTTTTTAATTAGTGTTTATACATAATTGATAGCGTAAATTTATTCAAGGCAAGCAAGTAATAGATTTATTATCCACAAAATTTATAATTTATAAAAAAATGTATAGTTCGACAATGGTTAAACAAAAAAATATAAAACGAGAGAGAGTAAACAAATGTTATATTTTTACTATCCATCATATTAAAAACTGACAAGAAAGGCTTTTTTATAGTGATTTTTGTTTAACGCGGTTTTTCCATATAAGAGTGAATTTTTCGAGTTACACAAATTTTTAAGGAACGTTTCTTCCGTGTAAGACGGGGCATATGTGCAGTTGGTACATGCAAAATATCAGTTAAATTTCTTAGTAATATTGATACTAGTATATTTTAAGATTTTCCATGAATACTATTCATTTACTGCGTACATTGAAGGAAATCTTCAAAAAATTGATTTTTCATTTCGGAATTAATTGCAAATATTTTGTATGGTAACCTTAGAATGATTGAAATGATTTCAAATTATAGTTCACAAATCGTTAATTTAGAAAAAAAATATTCAAAGAGAGCTTTATTGCTAGTGTAGATTTCATACGTAATACGTAAAAAACCACATAGGTAATATTTTTTCAAACTCAATTTATTAAAAAAAATATAAGTTAACATGATATGTGATTATAAATTAATTTATACAGATTAAAATTAAAAACATGCGACATTACAATGATATATAATATTTACATTATTTAGAAGATTTACATATTTTCAAACTTCTTTTTATATTTTTATATTTTAAAAACTTAATTAAACTCAAATTACATTCTTTTTTGCAAATGCGTTGAACTAATGGTTTTCTTATTGATTACTTTTTTATTGCTTCTTCAGCATAATTTGAATCTTCTCGATATCCTTCTGTAACCTACTTATTTGGTTCGTGCTAAATATATTTCGGGATTGTCATATTTTTCCAGCAATTTTTGCTCACAATCTTATAAATATATTTAAATAACTTCTTGAATTTCTTCTTCTTCTTCATAATTTTCATCATCTTGATCTTGTTTAAATATGTCTTCGACGCCCAATTTTTCAAGAACTTCGCGCGGTATGCGCCTCGTAACGCTGCCTCCTTGTATACGCTGGATCTCTCTCAGCGCCTCGATGGCGATTTCTCGGTCGCCTCCTGGTTTCGCTCCTTGCTCGATTAGTAATGACAAAATATCGAATTTTCTCACAGGATTTTCTGATTCGTCTACTCGTAGTAATTGTCTGCATTGAATTATTCCTACATAAAAAATTATAAACATTTATAATGTTCTGTTTATTTAATTCATTAAGATTGTTCTTCGACTTACTTACAAGGTATTATAAATATTTGAATATGGATGTTGTTCAAACTAAGCGATTGTAACTATATATGCGATATTCATAAATAAATATATATTACTGCTGTGGGCATATATTGTGTAACATGTATACAGTATAAGAAAGAAGTCTGATATTGATCGATACTTAAAATGCAAATATATTGATTGATTGATTGATACTTATAAAATGCAGTTAATTGAATTATATGAATATATTAAGTCGGTATTCTTGTTCAATATTTTTGAAAAACTGTTTTTGTTTTTCTTGCATATTTTCAGGGTTTAACTTCACAAGAATATGTGTACAACAAGTTTTTTTCCAGATTTAAATTGTTTTTGGAAATATAGCTGTACGACCACGGTAATTTTCTGTTTCTTTATGCGAAAACCTTAATCGCGTTTTTCTCGAATCGTTTAATACAATACCCACGATTTCTCAAATTCTACTGTACCGATTTATTTGAAGTTCTTGGTCTTTTTTATACTTTTTTCTTCAGTATGTACTACGTCCATCCCTGTATTCTTGTATATACTACTTAAAAAAAAATCTACGAGGTTGTAAATCTTTTTCTCAGACAGTTGCTGTTTTGTGAATAATTTTTTTGACTTGCCCGCTTTTTAGATTTCCATTAATTATATTTTTTTAATCGTGGGTAAGGTTCATCTCTCTCTATATTTTTTATATTCTCAAATAATTTTTTTTATATTCTCAAAATAATATTTAATAACTTGCAGAAAAAATTAGTACTAATATTGTTTGTCATAAATATTATGCGATTTTTCAAAGATTACTGTCTTTGATGGCTTTAGACCAGAATACCCCCTCAATGACATTAAGTTTTCAAATATTTCAAGTTTTCGACATATTTGAAGTTCGTATAAATTAAATAAATTGTATTCTCTTTAGGTTAGATTTTTAGTTGAAAGTTTCTTTTTATATTAAACATTTAAAATCTATACATTTTTTCAAATGCAACACATTTACATGCTATATGTTTAATTAAAGTTTAGGAACATAGCTTTTCTTAAAAATAAAATGATTTCATATCTAATAGCAAGCGACAATATTGAAAAAATTTTTTTTTTATTATTTCCATCTAATCACAATCTGCTTAGTGGTAATGCATTCAATAATTTTGGCGAGAAATGTGTAGATATAAAGGCTACCCAGTGGTAGTGATTTAAGGTTTGAAAAGTATTAAAAATAATTTGAGATTTTTTATAAACAAAAAGATATAAAAATACCTGTATTTATGTCTCTATCCATCGTTCTTTGGCATTCCAGGAATCTTTTTACGAGTGTTTGCCTATATGTTAGAATTTCCATAGACCGTGGATCATGATCAACTTTGGATAAGCAGCGGGCCGCTTCTCCCAAAGCGCTCAGAGCTTTCTCATAGTTTTTAAAATCATCGATTTCAACCTGGGGGACACGGACATTATACATAATATATAACTGAAAGTTTGAATATTAATACATATCATTGAAATTAAATCATTATGAAAGATCATACTATTGATCATTTTATAACATGAGATATTATTATTCAGATAATCATGTTTTTTCTGGTTGGAAATAAATAATCTTATAGCAAATATTGCCTAAATAGTTTTACCTGAGCACATGCCACATAGAAATTTGCTAACAAGTCATGAGCTTTTCCTTTTGCATAAAATGACACAATGTTGCGCAGGATATCTGGGTTGCTTTGCCAATCCAATGCCTGTAGATAATTTGCAGCCATCACATAAACCTCTTTTTGTCGTGATACACCAGCGAAGAAAATTATCTTCTCGGTATCCCCCGACTTCAATAATGATTTCATTGCTCTAATCTAAAAGGCAAAAAAAAATTTTGGTTTAAAATTTATTAACCATTTAAAGAACCGACAAATTTATAATGATTTACTTATATAATTAATTATAGCCTGTATTTCCTAAATTAAATCGAATTTTGAGACCGGTCTTTCAACAAAGTCATTTAATTACAAAACAATAATTTGAGCTATACTACTCTCAATACCTGAATTGAAATTTTATCAAATTCAGCTAATTTTGACTTTGTAATGATAAATTATAGAAGGATGTATATTATGACCGACTGAAATAATTCCAAAGCGTCTTTTATTTTAATTACAAAACTTGCTAAATGTTACTGAGGACTTTTATTGCAGTTTACCTTATCTCCCGCTTGTGTGAATTTTTTAGTAGCTAAATGGTAATTTCTTTGAGCATGTAGAATCTCAGCTAGTTTGTATAATATTGATAACCGCTCTCTTTCGTCTATACTGTTTTTTGCAGGACTCAGATGTTCGGCTAGTTCTTCTGATATGTTTACTGTATGTTCTGCGCATATATCCAGAGCCTCAGTATACTAGAATTAATTTTTTTTAAAAATACATATCATTACTAAATAAGTCTAAATTTTATTTAGACTTATAAGTCTAAATAAAAAATATAAAAAACAAATAAAATAAAAAATAACACTCATGCTAGTAAAACTTAAAATCTACTGAGGTACCGATTATCGAAGAAGCAGACACAGTTATAATATGGACATAGATTTTTTTAAGCCATTATTATATTTCATTTTATTGATAATTAGTTTTTTTGAACTACTATTCACTAAAATAATAATAATGGTGCATTTGATGCAAACATCTTACAGTGATATAGATAAGTGTGCATAAATTGTTATAAAAGTTATAAAGTTGTAATATAAATAGAACAGAATGTCGTCTTTGCAAAAATTGTCTTTAAAAAAGCTTTAGTATCTTCTAGTGCTTTAATATCATATTCATAGCATATTCATACATTTTTTGTGAGTGTAATATTTTTCTAGCTGACTTATATTTATATTTCTAATCATTTTTGTGTTCATAATCATATTTTAAAAAAAAAATTAATTTTTTTATTCATATTTAAATTACAATCTTCCTTATAATTAAGACATTCAGTAATTATTCTGAAACTTTACAAAGCTATAATGTTTTTAGAGAACTACATATTGGTGAGTTTTCTAATTTATAAGTACTAAGTACTAAGTTTGATGTAAATTATAATAATTGATTTATTTATATTGAATAGAATTCATAACTTTAATACACAGTATGAAGTTGACTCTCAGGCGTATAGACCAGATAAATCGAAAGGTATGAAATACGGTTATTAAAATATAGAGTACAGGATGTTAGTATTTAGACCTTTATCTAAAAATTTGCTTGTGACTCGCTAAAGCAAAATTTATAACTTTTGAAATAGAAAGGTGTGAATGTACAGAATTTTATTAATAGTGAATTTGGTTTATCATAAATATTTTATCAAAGATGATTTCTCGCTTGAATCAATATTAAACTTCCTCGTGAATTGAATTTCAATTAAACTAATTGATCTGTTTTATGGCAACTTTCATAATTTTTTTCTTGCTATAATAAAACTATCGAAATGTTCAACTTAAATTTCTTTTTGTTAGATTATTTTGCGTTTGTATAATAGCATGTTTGTACATATTGTACCGAAAGTTTTTATACGCTTTATTAAAGAATTTGCCTTTTTCGCGTATATGAAGACAATATAGACTCAAAATTGATATAATGCGACTGACCTTATTAGCAATCGCTAGCAAATCTACGGCTTTCTCATATTGTTCGTTGTTAACAAAGTATTCTGCGCATTCTTTGACCAGTTCTGGATCACTCGATTTGTTCAAATCGGCCGCGATGTCTTGCAAAGTATCGAACTGCTGCGAATTGAAAGATAATTCCAGAGCCTTACGAAGCAAACCTACAAAAGAATTTGGTATACTTAATGTGTATTTTATCAGTTCGTATCAAAAAATATATTATAGATTAATATTATAATTGACCATAATAGAACTACGTTAGGCTCTAATCGTAAAACTTATATATTTTATGTGCACATTGTAAAAAATGTGTGGTTACACGAACTAATTATTGTATGTATAATCACCCAACTAAATGCAAATTAAGCTAGTGGTGCTGGAAATTGCTGGAACTTCCCGCACCGTTATTTAAAATTTTTAAAAGCTCAAAAATAAAAAATTTAGAAATTTCGATTTTTTTGCATATTTTTGAAAAATTTGAAATCATTCAAAACATTCGAAATTTGAAAAAAATATCTGAAATAATTATGTTTTTTGAAAACTTAGAATTTTTCTGAAAACTTATAAATGTTTTGAAAACTAAAATGCTATTTTTGTACTTTTTTCTTTGTATATTCAAAACGGCTGGACCATTTTTTAAATTAAATTAGTTTTAAGATTAAGTATATTTTTAAGTAAATTATTCAATTTAGCATTCAATTGATCATTTTATTACATTTTAAATACATACGATTATATAATGTATATTTGATTTTGTTTTACTGTAGACAAAGAATAATTGTCTAAGATAGTTCGTTTTTAAATCTTCTGTTTCTTAGTTAGATTAAGTTGAAATAATTCGTTATAGGTTTCTATTAGATATTTTCATGGTTTATCACAACAAATTCAATTTGATGTTTGTAAATTAAAATAATATAAGTAAATATGATGATTAAGTCATTCGTTAAAAAATTAAAACAAAATTGATTGTACCCATGAAAATCAGATTTTTTTCGTATAATTTACAATCTGTTTTACCAGTTTAGAAACGGTATTTGCAAACGAATGATTCGGCTCTTCATCGGCAAATACAATTACCATCAAAGCCATGTCACGTGTTGAAAATTAAATAATACGTCACTTAAATGTGTTATACTAATTCACTCTTGTAGTCTATATTTGACTTTCAGAATAGTTCATACTCGTGCTTGAAGTAGCACAGTAAATTACTCAAAATTTTGCCAATCATCTAGATATTTTGCCAACGTTTTCTGTTATAGATACTTTTTTGAAATTTAATACAGTGTATGTGCTTTTAGAACTTGAAAATGTATAATTAAAAGTGGCAATTTATTTAATATAGATATAAAATGCGTTTTTTATTTTTTAATAATAATATATCTGAAATAGGTCTCTCATTTGGAATATATACATAATGTATCAAATTATTACAACTTTATTAAAACTGAATTCGTAATTTTTCTTTTTCATATTACTCTTGATTTTTTTGTCATTTGAAGGATCTTAATCTTTTACAGAATTATTGAATTTTTCATCAAATTCCAATGGGTTATTCCAATAACCTTTATTTGGCTGTACATTTTATTGTTTTATGTGATTTTTATGAGAATTCAATTATGTCCAAAAAATGAGAATATGATTACTATGACGTACGGTGTAAGTTATTATAAATTATACTTTTTTTTTAATAGAACCAAATATGGCTTGATCCAGGTTTACATGCAAATTATCGATAAAACTTATAATTAAACCATCAAATAGTGTTGAATTTCTAATATCAAATCATTACATTTTTTTCAGATTAATCATTAGAAAATTTTATATTGATCAACTCAAATCTTTGAAATAGTGTATTTTAAAAAACTTGCAAACATCTACGTTTGAATTTAAAAAAAAGTACGCATAAAATTTCAAAATAAATTTTAGTATTTCTGTTTAAGATGCATAGTCAATGATAAGGTATATTTATACCATTTTTCTGACTACTCGAGGAAACAAAAGGAATTCAATGTTATGCGAAAAACCTAGCTGCGTTTTAGTTTCTGCACATTTATATAAATTACCAGAATATTTATTTATGACTTCAATAACAGTTTTATAGTATACCTGCTCTATGATACAAAGAAATCGCTTTTTGCATATCGCCAGCTGTTTCGAAGTATTCGGCAGCCTCTATTTTGTGTGCTGGTGTCGCAGACAATGCGAGTCCCCAAAGTATTTCGTCCATGTTCTGCTCGCGACAAAGTCTCATAGCCATGCCGAAAGCTTGGGCACGTCTGAAAAACTAAAATTAGTTTCAATCATTACTTTTCTTAAGTCAGTCGACGAAATTATTGACCTGGACAGAATATTTGTACTACATACTTGTAAAAATTTTCATACCTGTATCGCTTCCTCCACGTTTTCAGTTGCTTCATAATGTCTTGCCAATTCATAGCATGCTGCTTTACTATTTGATGACATTGCAAGTTCTGCGGCACTATTTTCCAAGCGCATGAAACATAAGATTCTTACCTAAAAATTTTAGAATTAATATTTGAAGTGATCGAACTTTTGCAGTACAATAGCTATGATGTGAGTATAATATAAAACGTTTGGCTAAGTATGTAAAACTGTTCAAATCCAAAACAAATCTTTACCATTTAAAAATTTCAAAAATTAAGTTACCAAAGTGTTTTGTACAGTAAACTACTACATATTTAGGAACTTCTGGATGTTAGTTCATTCATTTTAAACAGGATTAATTAATGGCTAAATTATTTAAAAAGTATATTTAAATAAATACTTGAGAAACGCAATCGTTAGCCTTTCCATAAAGTTTTAGTGCCCTGTCAATATCTCCTCTACTCTCAACATATTGCGCCCACCATTTCAACATATCCTGATCGGTTGTCTGCTCCATATAATCCTTAAATATAATACACATGATTTATGAGCGAATCATTGCAAATTTGATACAAATGATTGTTTACAAGAATTTACATGTATAGAATTGGTTTCTTTACCTGTAGAGCCAAAGGATGCTGCAATAAAAGTCTTGGTATTTCACTTTTACAATTCGCTTTATAATAGAGATCTATAGCTTTGTTTAAATCTCCAGATTTCTCTTGGTGTTTTCCGAAATGATAATATGTATTTTTCAAGTGGATTCTATCTTCTTCTTTTGCTATTCTAATGGCGTCATCAAATCTTCCTTGAGCTTGATAGAGCTTATTTAATAGATCCCAACGATTACACTTCTCATATAATAGTTTTGCTTCATTCTGTTAATTATTTATTATAATATTAGTCATAAGTCGAAATCTATAAATCTATAAATTTAAGTGAAAATTGTGACACCAATGCTGTGCTCATATACTTTGACCGCATATACTTGTATGAACAACTGATTTGACTTGCGGTTGATAAGTAATACAAATTGTACAAATTAATTATGTATCTTAATAATATTTAGCAACAATATACTAGTCAACCCCGCTGCAATGCAGTACTATGCCTTCTAGAAGGGTTGATTGTGTATAATAAAACAAAAAAAAATGAAATTATGTACTTACATGCATTCCAAGTTGTACAGCTAACATAGCGGTCTTAGCTTCTTGCTCCAGATCGCGATCGTTCATGGCCTCACGTACTGCTTTGGCAGCTCTTGCATTTTTCATGTGCCCCAGACAAACTAATGCGACATCTAAACGCTGGGTCTTGACGCACATGCGGGCTAAATTTTCCCAAATAGCATTGCTTTGTACTAAATGTATTGCCTTAAATGCCTGGTCCATGTTACCTAAACTAATATCAATATATGTTCGCATTGGAGAAAACATCATGAACAACTAATTCAGATGAATGCAGTATTATGTTGTATAAACTTTTACTTGTTGAATTGCCATGGAAATAATTCTTCACTTGTTTCAAACCTTACAATATATCAAGTATTGTTGTTTTAATTGGACGTGAACTATCGATAATATAATAATAATATTAAATATCGATATGATTAAAAAAAATTATTTACTATCGATTTATATTTACGTTTACATAAAAAAATCTAATATGCGATAAATGACCAAGAACTTATTAGTACACGAAATTATTATTATTATTTCAAATATCAATATGTCCTCTAATTAATAATAATCGAATTGACTATAATTAACGTAATTATTAGTACGGTGGAGAGATCGCGTACTTACGTAACAATTGTCTCGTATGAACAGATAATTACTTATTGTTAGATTTCTGCTTTTATTTGTTTCGGCATAATGTATAATTAGTCATATACTTGCAAAAATGCATGAAGGTCTATAAAATTAGAGCAAAATTTAAATGCAATCTACATTATTTTATTTTATAAAAAAGGAAACATTTATTCATGGCTTAGTTGATCTGCAAATATGTAATCTTTTTTAAGATTAAAAGATGTTGCTTTAGTTTTAACTTCTAACACTTAAAAAGTTCATATACAAAATTTACTTGAAATTGTATGCAATGCCAATTTTAAGAAGAAAATATTTTTTTAGGTTAGAAGCAAATTTGGATAACAATTTCATCAATATTTTCAAAATGAAATGTTTCGACAACGTGTCGATTAAAAATGTCCATTAAATATGATAAGCATACTTATAAAGATGATTCCATTTCACTATATATGATATCAAATGAGATTTCGCACATAGGCTTCGCTTAAACTTCATTAACTTCCCGTAGGGTAAGTTATAGTAATCGACCAACAATCGAAATTGAAATTTTTTGCATATTTTAGAAGAAATATATGTGTTGTATGTATGTATGTATGTATGGGTGGATACAATTTGTCGACGTTTTCGGGAGCACCGCTCAACCGATTTTACTTTTTCAAAAAGCATTCTATTTCTATTGATGGAATACGTGCTGATTAGTTTTTGGGAAAGGTCGATCTAGCCGTTTCTGAGATACAGAGCAGAGTTCTAAAAACGGAGATTAAGTTTAAGAGAACAGAGGAAGTAGTGACTATTTTCTGCAAAAGACAGGCCTCGTTGTTTCAGAGATAGCGAGCAAAAAGTGTAAAAATGGCAGTTTTTGAGAGAACAAAGCTATTTTTAATTAAGTTTTGTTTATTTACTTTTTATGTTACCATATATAAACGTCGTCGTTCATTTTATAAGTCCCTTATATTTTGTCTATAAAATACGAATGATGAAAGTTACAGTATTCATAATAATCTATTTGAAATTCTTCGAATTGCCATGCACCACTAGTTATATTCGGATTTGATTGTATGTTGCAAAAAGTAATTTCATATTTTATAATACAGTATTGCAAAAAATCCGTTATACTTCGATTAAATTATTGTTAGTAAATCAGTGGTTATTTCAAACACAAATTAATTTTCAATCAATTTAATTTGATTCAAGGATTGTACAAACCATAAATAATAAGCAAAATCCAAAACAGCTGTTCTTATTCCTTCGTCGCATTCTTCAAGACCTTCAAAATGTTTTACTAGAACTTTGGTCACTGTTCTCAATCCGTGCATTATCAAATTTGGAGCCGTCAGTCCCATTAGATACCCCGAAGAATAGTGACATCTGTACATAACATTAAATCCAAATTCTGTCACGAATAGGCATGTTATATACACTCCTGGCGATTTATCTATTAAAATGAAAATTTAAAAATTTTAAAGTTATGGTTAATGAGTTGATTTAAAGAAAAGTTTATGCTCGAATAGTCCTACTTTCTGAACAGTTTCGATAAATGCGTTACAAATATATCTCATAATGATGTTAGGAGACGCAAATATTGCTTAATTCTTGTTCATACAAAAAATTTCTTTATTTCTCATATGTAGCTCATACTATCTATTAATTAATTTGTTCATTATTTGATATTATTTACCCTTATTTTTGTCGGATTTGTTTGTAGCACCATTCGCGCTGTAACCATTTTGTTTACCAGGTTCCCGCGTAGAATCACTAATCAGCGTTTTGCTTTCTACTGCCAATAAACGATAGTCATTTGAATCCCAAAAAAATTTGACGGGTATAGTCCTGCTCAGAACTGCTTCACATTTTGTCTGCGCACTATCAGTTAAGTTTATAACATTGTTAGCATTCGATTCATTTAGAAAATCATACACACTTAAGATGTCGGTTTCCAGATCCCACGAGTATAGTTTACCATCCGGTATTAACTGCGAATTTGCAACTAATATAGCCACAGCTGTCCCACTACAATTTGATTTTGCTGAAATAATTTCACCGAAATCATTCAAATCATCTCCCAGATACTTAGAATTGGTCAATAATTTTGGTTCATGGGGCGATATATCATATAGTTTAAGATAACCGTTCATGGTAAACACACAAAGAAATTTGTTGGTCAATTCGATACCTATAGGTTCACCTTCAATATCACTGGTTTTAATAGTATTTAATAGAACGCCATTTAAGGAACGTGTTTGAACAGAATTTGACATCAAAGCTATAATAATATGTTCGTAAATCAACAGTCTTTCCGATTCACACGTAAAGTTTCCCAAAACTTTAAATTCTATACTACCAGTAATACTTTTATTGGAGCTTACAACTTGAAATACTAAAACTATTCTTCCATTAGACACCACGATGTGATTACTACTTAAGCATAAAACTTGTACTTGAATTTCGTAATTTTGAACAACTTTATTTGTTTTGTTTTGTATCAAAAGTTGAGTAGAACTTAATTGGATTGCACACAAATTTTCACAATAATAGCTACATAATGACTGTTTCTTCAAAATGAACACATTGGTCACGCAATTTACACATAAGTATGGATTTCTATAACTCACGTTGCCCCATACAATTTCTTTCACAGTGCCTTTTATGCTGCTAATATTTTCTAAGGTCCAGTTTGATTCAGGAAATTCAGAATACGATAGAATATTTCTGCAAGACCAAATGTGTAATTGGCCAAGGTTTGTTCCTGCGCAAAGAGTTCGATTGAATTTGCAGAATGCTATGCTGGTGAAAAGTTCGGTGTTCGTGTGAAGATTTGATGCAGGTGAATTTTGTTCAGTGGGTAACAAATAGTTATCTCCGGTTTCTAAATCTAAAACACGTACTGTCATATCACCTGCAAAACATACAGTTAAAATTAGAAATCTCACATGCATAAGAAGGTGTAGAACATAGTCAAGAACAGCAGACAATTTAGAAAAATATATGGTATTATAAAAATTATGTAGACAAACCCGCAGAAAAGAAATTCGAGTCCGGCCATATAAAGTCTCTCATATGGAATAAAGTTTATATTCAACAAAGAAAAAAACTTTTAAATAAGTTTTAAATTGGTCCGTGAGATAATAAAGTTGCTCGCTTGCTTTACACTACGTAAGCAATTGATAATTTAGATAATTTGTATAGAGTGAGTTGTATTTTGTAAACATACGTATATTTTTTTATCACCTGTTAATACAGCAAAAGAAGTTCCGCCAACCCAGACTAATCCTTGACTAGAAGTGCCCCTCAGTGCTTGTGTCCGACCGCTTAATTTGATTTTGGCCAACTCGCTCAATCTTCCCTGTGAATCGACTGTGTAGTGTTCTAACGTTAAACCTTCATTCATAATTATCAATTCGTCTTTATTTGGGTGATATAACATATAATTCAAAGGCGATTCCATTTGCATTATTTCTGTGCACGTTCCTGATTGATTGACATAATATAAAAGACCTGAAAATAAAATATCTCAACTTTATCCGAATATCTACGTTAAAAAAATACTAATATTTATCATGGTTTATCGATAATGCCGTTACTAAATTTATTTATATTTACAAATTATGGTAGAGCTATTTCTAACATTTATAAAATAGTTACACGATAGAATCAATGTATTACTTTCATATTTAACAAATTTTGATGTTTTAAGAAATGTGTTTCCAAAAATACAGTTTGTTCAGTTTTTGTTGAGTTCATTTTTTTGATCGAGGTATTATAGGAATATTCAACTAAGCACCAAGCCGAAATCTTGCTCACTTTTATGAAAAGAGAAGATTGCACTTTTAGCGTCTGTAATATGTAGTACGTAATAAGCAGTATTTCGATTGAATTAAAATGTTAGTTCATTTTGTTAATATACTTCCGAAATTATTAAACTAATCTACTTGTCCAATTGCTATTTGTATAGAGGGAAGTTCCGTAACGCCGGACGGCACCTAGTGCCGGACAATCTATTTAATACGTATTATTTAAGCAATTATAAATCTTTTCATTTAAAAATACAAGTGAAAGGGGCACGGGGGGCACACAGGTACAGGATCACGCGCCAATCCTCGCCTGTGACGTACACGGCCACGGCGGAAGCAACCCATTAGGCGCAAAATCACGGCGTCACCTAAATATCAATGAAAGTAATTCTAGTGCATTAACATTTGAGTGGTATGCAAAGATAAATGTAATACTTGATTATTATTCGTAAAATGATAGATTATAATTAGATATTTTAAACAATTTTAGTAGGTGCCACCAAATGAACAAAAATGTCTGTCGTCCCTTAGTGCCGGACAGTAAACATATTGATATTTCTTGTGAGAATTGACGTAATTTATTCCAATTATTTAATTTTGTTCTGTTGAGTGCTAACGACCATCTTTCGTATTTCCTAGTCAAAGAATGAAAATCTTATGATGAATGCTCCAGCTGAAAGCATCTGTGTGGCCTAGCCAAAAGGGTGAATGAATAGTGATTTTTTTGCAATATCTAAGAATATTCGTCGAACACACATGTGTAGACGTTCCAGAGTGTGGAGATGGCTACATAATGTGTTCAATGCTGATTATTTTGAAATGTTCGGTACTAGGTGCCACATTTTAAAATCCTATTTTTGTTACCAAAGTTTGATTGATAGTAGATAGTCTTAATTATTTTTAAGCAAAGGTTGCGTTTTTGTTAATTTAGTTTGATTTATAACTTTGTTATCTAACATAAGTCATAATTTAATATACATTTCGTAATATATTTTTTGATTTATTTATAAATAACCTTAGGTGTCCGGCACTCGGGGACATTCCCCTACGTGAAGTCTCAATACTATATGAAAAGTATTGACAAAACGTAACTTTTGGTATCTTGGAAATTACGTAGAAACACTCCTATAAAAATATAACTAAAGATAAATGAACATATCATTGAATTATAATTTTATATTAGTCATGAAAAAGAACTGTAACTTGGATTGAAATAAATTCTAGATATTGATAAAAATTAATATTTTGAAAATCTTAAAATTTTTGCTACTCTATAAACCTTACAAATTATAAGTAATTCTAGAGAAAATATAATTTTCTTAAAATCATAACTTTTTGTGAAAATGTGCATTTTATTTGGAAATTTTAAATTTTGAAATTATTTTAATTTTTGAATTAGAATATTTATTGCAATTTTTATGTTAAGTAGTAAAAAGTTGAAATAAAAATTGTTGTTAAAATTGTAAATGATGAAATGTAACATAAGTCTGTGCTATGCATCTTCGAAAGCGCGGAGATCAAAAAAAGATTAAACTTTGATATCAATATCATAATATTTTATTATCATTCTCACCTGATTGTGTGGAAACGAAAAAGCACGTATTGTCCTTAGTCCTTGGAGCAACCTGTGTTCTGGCGTTGGTTCGGGGTCGCCAGGAGCTCAGCGCATCCAGAGCATTTTCATCGCCGTTTACGGCCGCACGTGCTAAATGTTGTAATTCCGAAGACGATTTTGATAAAACACTCAATCGAAAAGTTATGTGAGTTAGTGGATCCTTCAAATCATGATGAAATGCAGTCAGATAGAAAGATGTTGCATCGTATTTCCATCCTACCAATATACCAGTCTAAAAGACAGAAAAGAAGTCATTTATATTATGAAAATCCATGCAACATCAAGTTTTGTTATAATAAAGAAAATTAATTAATAAAAATTATTGATCTTGCTGAATTTTATAAGTCATATGTATGAATCGCATGTAACAATATTTTCTTTATATTAGCTTATTTTCCAAATTAATGTAAATATTTTTATAGTTAATCGGTGTCGCCACTTTCTTTCGATTATTCAACAAACAGTTGTTATTTTACAACTATTTAAGGGTAATGGTCAAGGCTCAAGGGTAAAATCGAGATTTCATTTGCGTTAGTTTAAAATCATTGTTTTTTATGAAATAATTTTATGGATTATGAATGCTGTTTTTGTCATCAGTATAATAAATATAAAAAATATGTATTACAAACCGAGTCGCCAGACACCAATCTTCCTCCGACTTCGCTGAAAAGCAGTGAAAGTCACAGGTGATGTATGGGGTCCATTTACGTTTATGAAGTTTCTCGCTGCACTTGATCCATGCCAAATGCTAATTTCTCCATTTTCCCAGCCGGTCACAAGAATTTTCTTTTCTGGGTGCCAAACCAACGACGTTATTTGAGATACAGGATGCACTGGATAAGTAATATCTGGTAGCGGTTCGCCCTAAAAAGTGAAGTAAAATTATTAGTAAAATCAATAAGTAAAATTTACTTTTCTAAATCACAATTCTTTTAAAAATTATTTTGTCTGCAGATAATAAAAACTATAGAATAAGAACAATTCGACCTAAATGTGATATTTGTTAGCATTTTCTTAGTATTAAATTTAAATTTTATTGAAATAATTATAATTTTAAATATTTTTAAATATTATGCAAGTAACTATTTTTAAAAAATATTTTTGATCGGAATAAGTACTCATCCATTATTAAATATATTCATTCATTATTAAAGTGGGAAATGTTAAGTTTTAAGTAACAAAGTTGTTGGTCGTTCAAATAATTTCCATATGATTTATATCTAGTTTTTCTTGTCCTATAATGGTATACTTTTTTGCCAACCTAATACTACGTGTAACAGCTGAAAGTTAATACCAGTCAATAAAAAAAAATCATAAACTGTTACTAGTGAATATTTAAGAAAAATCATATTTTAGTTGGTAAATCTAATAATAATACCTCGATCATTTTAAGAGAATTTATGGATTTGACATAGACATTTGATAATTTAAAATTAATAATTATTAGAATACGCTTGTAATTTATTTGTTTATTGAAATATTCAATTTTAAATTATTACTGGGTTCGCCCGTAGGTATGCGGTTAAGAGTTATTGATTGATGAGGTCCCGGGTTCGATTCCCACTTCGAGCAGCCTGTTGTCAGGCAGCAGTGACAACAATTTTCACTTGGAAATATAGATAGCAATATGTTTTCAAGTAAAAATAGCCCTTGCCCGGCATTGCTGCATCAATAAAAATACTAGCCCTATTACAGAAATTGTAATAATAATATAATCATACAGAGACGTGACAACTGATTAGGTTGCCTTCTGTCAAACAAACTAGTATTAAGTCAAAATCAGCACAACGGCTTATAGGACTATTAGGTTCTGATTGCTGTTCAAAAATAATAAGAAATTTAAAAAAAAATTGATTTTCAAATTCGAAATATTGGTTCATTTGTGGGTAGAGGTAATATGTTGCTTTTATGTTGCATTTTAAAGATTAAGGAAGAGCGCAAATAATACCAATGTGTATAAGTCTATTTATTTATATTTTATATAAATTTATATTTTATATAAATTTATATTTTATATAAATTTATATTTTATAATCAACTTACTGTTTCATCAAATATCGTGACAAATCCACCTTTCTCTTGATTATAGGATCCTACAGCAAGTAGTGGCACCATTTCGTGCCACGTACATATCGTTGTAATTGTGCCAGACTCATTGAAATGCACTTTAGTTTCAAAATATAATGACATTTTACTAACTTTTAACAACTAAATACGATAACTAAATGTCCTATTTCTTTTTCTCCTCTGACAGCTCGTGCTTTGTTATGGCAACACTTTGTTTACATAGCAACCGCTCAGGCCTGCGCGTATTGAAAAAAGAGCACAGAACAGCAACAAAAAGCTTATTCTTAAAGATTTCGAGTTGAAGTTTGAATATATGCTTTGAAAATGAATATTCCTAGAATTGTATGTCTGGATTTAATTCGTGCCAACCAACAATGATGACGACTCATAAGTTTGATGGGACGGTATTAAAGTTTGACTCTTTCGTCCGTGTTAACCTTTATTGGATTAAACCAAAGGAAACATTTACCAAACGGCTTGAGACAATATTATTTATTTAAATAAATTTTTAGCTTTCATCAGTTTCATTTTCCATGACAACTTTCAGGGGGTCCATGTCGGCAAAAAAAAATGTGGTGCACGAAATGAAAATGGGAGCTCACGGTAATGGATCACAATAACCACGTAAAATCTATTTACCGTATCTATAATAAAAAACCATATACAATATTTATAAATAGAACTACAAACTACACAAAAATATTATTTTTTTATAAAAATGTGTCAGTTGTAGCATAAGTAGACATTCGATTTGTGGTCGCAATATTTATTATTGAGCTTGTAAAGACCCTATTTGCTGACTATTTTTGGGTTGGCAATTTTTTTCCGCTTTTTTTGCGGTTAGTCTGGAAACTAAAGATAAAAGTCGAATCAATAGTTGTAAAATAAACAGTAGAAACGAGGTTTGCGTTATTACTGCTTTCATAACAAAGAAAAGATTTAAACTGGACATCATTATCCCGGGAGTGGTAAATTTAAACCTTATGAAATTTTTGCCAAATGTTGATAATTAAATATTTATATTTCGCTTACTTTATTTTTTATTTCCTTTTTCTTCTTAGTATTTCTCAGTATTTTAATTTTAAATATTTAATAATAAACTTATAGTTACAAATGTATTATTTTAAAATTCATATCGTTTAGATTTTAAAGGGTCAATGGCAAAAGCTAAGGAATCCGCAACACAAAATTTTTGGAACCTCTGATCTAGCTAGATTAACAATTAATGCTAAGTACTAATGGATATTTGTTTTAAATTATTCCAAACTTCAATGTTTTTTATAATTAAATGATTTTCTGTAAAATTATAGATTTCTTTAGGACATTAATCTTATCGCTATAACAGGATTCATGAAAGTTAAAAAATATTACAATTAATTTCGAAAAAACGGCTCGGCTTATCTTTACAAAAAAACTAATAGATCTAAATCGATTCATATTAAAATATTTTTGCACAAGAAAATGTGTTAACTCCTTCATAAGGAAAACTTCTAATAGTGTCCTTTTACCATTGATGAAATGTTTCTTTACCATTTTTTCTATTAGAGAGGAATTTATTAACTTCCCGTAGGGTAAGTTATAGTAATGGGCCGAAAATTGAAGATGAAAATTTTTTCATAAGTATCTTTACGTTTCAGAGGTTTCTGAACATTTTGGCATACCTCAGAAAAAAATGGATGTGTGTGTGTTTTGTGTGTCCGCAGTTTTTCGATCACGTTTTCGGGCGCACGGAGCAACCGATTTGAATGGTTCAAAAAACATTCGATTCCTATCGATAGGGAGATGTGCTGATTAGTTTTTGGCAAAGCCAGGTCCAGCGATTTCGGAGATATAGAACAAAGAGTGCAGCAAATAGAAATCGAGTTTTTGAGAGAACGGTGCATCAGATTTGAATGATCAAAAAAACTTTCAATTTGTAATGATGGGGAAAAGTGGTGTATAGTTTTTGGCAAAAGCAGGTTCGACCGTTTTGGAGATACCGAGCTAAATGTGCAAAAAATGACAGTTTTTAGGAGAACTAAGCATTCGATTTGAATGATTTGAAAAAAAATCGGCTTGTTTTGACAAAACAACAACTTTTGGAAAAACATTTTTTTTGTATATCCAAGAAAAATTTTATATTTTAATTTTGGTTAAAATTCTATAGCTCACTTATATACTTTAGATAAATAATTTTAACTTTGCAATTTAGTTTATAAAATTCTTATAAATAATATACAATGTCCTTCATTTTAAATTCGATTGGTCAAGTTTTGTTCAATTACTCATTTATTTAAACGTATATAAGTTACAGTATTCATAATAATTTATTTGAAAACATTCAATATTCCTCAAACATTTCGTTACGGTACGGGAAGTTTCAGCATTTGTTGGAATTGAAGTATTTAATTGTGATTGAATTCATTTGTGTATCAATTTTGTACACTGTTCAATCTATACCGTTTGATATAAACCGCCTGATTATATGATGTTAACTTGTTCACGAAATTTTGCGTGGTTCCCTCTGCAATTGGAAGGGGAAAGTTTTGGCTGAAATGATTTTTATGATAGCTTAACAATAAATATAAATTGTTATTATTAACCCCAAAGAAGTTAACATTCAATTATTCTACTCTACATGTTGTGTGCAAACATCATTTTTAATACCTTTTTTTAATAATAATGCAAGATTTATAAACTATTTTTATAAAATTATTATAACCAAATGAAAGTGACTTATAATAATCAGTAATACAATTGAACAACATTGAAATAAGTGCGAGATTGAAAAAACTATATATATTGCTTCAATACGTTGTAAGTTTGCAAAATAATTATGAAACGTTTCATTTATATATTCGATACTGATATTAGATGGCGCAAATATTTTTTTCAAAACTGCTTATAGATTAGATAGTTTATGTATGTTATGATAAGAAATATGTGTGATGGTTTGATTTTATGAAAACATGTAATATTGTATATTAGGTTTGAAAAAATGCTACATTGGAATGTAAGTTCAAAACAAACTAGTGGGGTGTATTATGGCATCGTGCCTTAAGGCAAATTGCTGGAACTTTCCGTACCGTAACGCAATGTTGGAGGAATATTGAGTGTTTTCAAATAGATTATTATAAATTGTCTATTTAACATTGTCTAATATTTATAAGAATTATATAAACTGAATTGCAAAGTTGAATTTATTTGTTTAAGGTATGTTAGAACTTTAGTCAGAATTAAAAATAAAATATGAATTATTTTCGATATACAAAAAAAAATTTTTTTTGCAAAAAAAAATTTTTTTAAATTTTTGAAACATTTTTTTTTTTTAAACAAGTAAAAAGTTCTTTGAATCATTTAAATCGGATGCTTAGTTCTCTCAAAAAATGCCATTTTTTTGCACATTTAGCTCTGTATCTTGAAATGGCAGGGCTTGCCAAAAACTAATAACCAATTCTCCCGATCATTACTAATTGAATGTTTTTTAGATCATTCAAATCGAATGCTCCATTCTCTCAAAAACTCGATTTCTATTTTCTGCACTCTTTGCTCCTTATCTCCGTAACTGCTGGACCTGCCTTTGCCAAAAACTAGTCAGCACATCTCCCTATCAATAGGAATCGAATGTTTTTTAAACCATTCAAGTCGGCATCCGTGCGCCCGAAAACGTGAACGAAAGAATGCGGACACTCAAAACACACACAGACACACACACACATACACACATTCATTTTTTCTGAGGTATGCCAAAATGTCCAGAAACCTTCAAAACGTCGAGAAATGCAAAAATTTTCAAATTCGATTTTTAGACGATTATAATAACTTACCCTACGGGAAGTTGAAAATAGGATAAAACTTGTGGTAAATGGCATCTTGCCTTGGCAAATTGGTGGAACTTCCCGTACTAAAAAATATTTTTTTTAAAAAGGCATCATAGGTTTTTAAAAACTTTAAAAAACAATTTTTCATTTTTTTTTTAAATTAGACTTAAAAAAAAGAAATGTTTTAAATTTTTTAAATTATTTGTAAAATACTTTTTTTAACTCGATTCTTATTGATGAGGAGACATGCTGATTAGTTTTTGGACAAAGCAGGTGTAGCCGTTTCGAAGAAACGGGTCAAAAAGTGCCAAAAACGATAACTCAGTTTTTAAGAGTACGGAGCGTTCGATTTTAAAAATTAAAAAATCATTTCACTTGTATTGAAATAAAAAACTGAATGATTATTTGGGAAGGCAGGTCCAGCGGTTTCTGAGATCATAAAAAGTAAAAAAAAGGAATTTGCCGGCAAACGTGATTATTACACATATGCACATCAAATTATCAAGTATTTTATAGAGATTTTAATAATGAGTATAAATTAATGGGGCAATTCTGCCGTAACATAGCTTATAAAATAGCGTTGTCATGGCAACGCTCTCGTATGCTTGTTCTTGGTAGTAAAAATTATAAAAAGTCTCTCTATTTGCTGTGCGATCAGGCGTATTTTACATATGTACAAGCAAAGAAGTATCTTATGATAACAGAATCTTCGATGATGCAGTTACGCCTCTTGTAAATATAAACATACGTAAGTGTTTTATGTTGTTCATCGCTAATCAATATTTATAGATTATTGATTTTTTCTTTCTCGAATATTTAATTGCGTTAAGTTATTTTTGTATTACAAAAAGTAAGACGATTGTAATGCAAAATTTAGGTTTAAATAATCTAAACTATTAAATTTTTAACTATAAATTTAAATTACCTGAATTATTCGTTATTAAAATTCATATTTTTCATATTTCGCGCAAATTAAATAGCTATCTGAACGTAAAAATGGAATGAGAGAAAAACTTCTGTATGAATATATTATATTCTGTTATTGGCTTGGACTCTAAATGTCATTACAACAAAAAATAACTGCAGTTTCAAGCCTACTAATACATTGAGAGCCAACATCAAACAAAATTTATGGAAAAAACAAACGGCGAACAGCAAATTTTTGATTACACTCATTTCAGTAGTCACTAAATAAATTATTAAAATAAATAATAATTTTGCCCGTAATTTTACTCGGGTTGTGATAATGTCTCAGGAGACCCCAGTAACAGTTCTAGTGAACTTTTGCTCCGCAAAAAAAACGCCGGCTCCAAAATTTAACCT